CTAGAATCTAATATAATTCTATTACTATCTCGAGATATCTTAGCGAATTAATAATCTATACTATCTATATTATATAGATCTATTCTAAATACTTACTTAAGTCTTCGATAGTCTAAATTAATATTTAATTATCTATATTTACTATAACTCTACTAAGTTATAATCTTATTTAATATATAACTATTATAATTAAAGCTTAAAGAATATCGTATAGCTTTATTAAGTATATTATATATTAGTCGCTTAAGCTTAAATAGATATTAAAAGTAGAATTAATATTTAATAATATAGCTAAAGCTCTCACCTTTTTATTAATCTTATTATCTATATATATTATTATATAATTCTTATTAATCGATCTTTTAGCTAGTTTAGTAGTTCTTTAACGACTTTCTTAATCTTATAAATTATTATTTTAAAAGATTTTTAATTAAGGGCGGCGCTGAAAAGACGTAATTTCTTAATCTTATTAATATCGTTATATTTATTTTCGAATCTATTAGTATATCGCTTTAGTAAACTTAATTTTCTATTCTTTTTAAATTTTCTTTTAAACTTCTATCGCTTAAATCGTAACTTAATAATCTCGCTATATATTAAATTAATAGCGATTTATAAGATAGCTTTCGAGGTAATCTTATCTAGCTATTATTTAATTAATAAAAGATATACTTTTATATTAAGTGCTAAAATAGATATAGCCTTAAATATTTTAATTATTTTTCTTTTATTTAAGATTAAATTCTTTATAGTAATAAGAGATAAATTTTATTATAATTAATAATATCTTTAAGCTAATATTATACTAAGTAGTAGTATATTATTTATAGAATAATTATCGCTTAATAAAGTTATTTTATACTCTTATAATTATTATCCTATATTAATCTAATAATTCTTACTAATATATTAATACTTTTAATAGCTTTAAACCGAATCTTCTTATTATAATAGCTTTATAGTAGTTTAGAGTTAATTTTAACTTCTAGATAGCGAATAAAGCGTCTCGCCTTAATATATTATCTCTTATTAAGTTATAGAAGATAATTTAAGCTAAATCTCTATTTTCTATTAAGATATAGTAGTTAATATTTATTAGAATTAAACTTCGATTTATATTATAACGTCTACTTTATATAAACTTTATCGTAGATTTTATAAAAAGCGTTATAATTTTCCTCGATAGAGTCTCTTATTATTAGAAGATCTATATTATTTATAAAGTCGATAACTATTATTTCTAAGTTAGCGCGATTATTATATTTATCGATAAGATTTAAGTTATAGAAGAGATAAAGTATAGGCGATAGCGATAATTCTTAAGAAATTTCGGTTATTATAGAAGTCTTTAGTATAGAGTATTCGCTTATTTTTAATACTATTATTCTATTAAATAAGAATAATTCTATTTAGTTAACTACTCTTATATCGATTTTTCGCTTTTAAAGATTATAGAGTAGTCGAGGATAAGAGATTTTATTATATATATCTGAAACGTCTAGTAGTAATATTATAACTATTTTATTAAAGTTCTAGACTTAATATATCCTTTCTAGAAGATAGTAAATATCGTATTTATATAATCGTAATCTACGGTCTCCTATATATATAGTCGATAAAAGTCTATATATCTTCGTAAGATATACTATTCTTCTAGTAAGAATAAACTCTATTATCTTTTTATAATATTAAGTAAAGCTATTAATTAGTATTCTTTAGAAATTAAGTAATTCTTACTTAACTTTAAAAGAATAATTATTATTAATATTCTAAAGTGCTCTAGATAGTAATCGTTTATTATATATATATTAAATATTCTATATAGATAAAGAAATAATAATTCTAAAATCTCCTTAAGAATTAGATTAAGAATCGCGTCTCCCCTTAAGACTTTCTTTAATAATACTTATATTATAATCTTTCTTATCTTATTTATAATAATTATATTTATTAGATAAACTTATAAGTATATTATATTAATACTAATATTATTTAACTTCGCCTATATCGATAATAGAAAGAATATTCTTATAAAAGATCTATCTTTAGACTTAATTCGTTATATTCTTATTTATCTTTATTAAATAATAAAGAAAGATATATTTATATTATAAGTTATTTTCTAGTCTACTTAGTCTTTTTCTATATTATTTATAACGACTTATATACCTCTACTATAAACTCTCTAAACGCCTTTCTAATAATTCTCTTAATTAGATTATTTTTTAAAGTTCTTAGCGTTTTATACTTATTCTATACTTTCTTCGAGAGCGTTATTCTTTAGTTTCTTTTTAGCGATTTATAATATCTTTATATTTTCTTATATTCTAGCGTAAATCTCGATCTAGATTATAGCGATAACTTAATAATCGAAGTAAACTTCTTTATAATCGCTTAGATAGAGTTAATAATAGTTATTACTTAATAATTAATATTATCGTTAATAAGATTTTTACTATTTCTTTAAAGATTAATTAGATACTCTTTCGATATTATAACTCTAGCGAGTATCTCTCTTAAGACCTCGATATTTAGTTTATTAAAGTTTTAATATATTATTAATATTAACTCTATTACGACTAGCTTAAACTTTATAAAAATTAAAAGATAATTAAATTCGCTTTTAAAAATATTTTCGATATTATAGTTAATAATATTTATTATTAATACTAAAATAGCGAATAGTAGATCTATTATTATTTAATAGTTTTCTTTATATATTACTATTTTTATTAGTAATGCTTATTTTATAGTAAATTCTTTCGCTATAAGTATTAGTTCTTCTACTCTCTTATTAATATAAGTATTTAATTCTTCTTATATTATATAATAAAGATTAAAGTCGCCTAGTATAATCTATTTATTATTTTTAGACTTTATAAGCGTCTTATATAATTTATTAAATTCGTTTATTTATTAGTTATTGAGATTATAGATATTATATATATATATAATTTTATTATTTTCGAATTTAATATTAAGAGTGTAGAGGTTCGATAAGTAATATAATAAATATTATTACTTTAATAATATTCTCTTATTAATATAGAAGTATATTTATATATTATTATAATAGGGGTAAATTAAATTAAATCTATTCTTTAGAAGATAATATAACGTATTTATATTAGTATTTCTCTAGAGCTTCTAAATTACTACTATATTAATATTATAGATCTTTTTATTATCGAAGAGTTCTATTATAATCGTTTTAAATTTCTTTATATTATATTATAGTATTAATAGCTAATTAAAGTATACTATTATTTCTCGATATTATTATTAGTATTACTTACTCGCTTCGCCTAATCTATAGAGTTTATCTCTTCTTTCTAAGTATTCTTCTTTTCTTAATTATCGATAAATCGAATATATTCTCTTTATTTCTATTAACGAGAATTGTAATTCTCTTATTACTACTCTTTTAATTTAGAGGCTATCTATCGTCTTTAAAATTATTAATTTCCTCTATCGCTATATCGTTCTTATATTATTTAGCTTCGTCTATTACTTTAAAAAGCGATCTATTTCTAGATAAGACTCTTATTAATAATATAAAAGTATATCTTTTTTACTTAACTAGAGATTTAATATAATAGTTCTTTCGAGATTTAACGCTCTAATTTCTCTTCTATTAATTATTCTATCTTTATCTACTAGCTTACCGCGCGTAAATATTAATTTTAAAAAAATTTCTTATTTCGCCTATAATTAAATATATTCTAAAAGTAGTTATTTAATTAATCGCTTATTTAATAGCTAGTCGATATCTTCTTTATTATTATAAATCGTAAAGAAGTCTATTATCTCGCTATTCTTATTCTTACTATTCTCTCTTCTTTACTATATATATCTTATTTTAAGCCTTATATAATCTCTTTAAATCAGTATTTACAGTATCGGCCGTATAATCTTTATAATAATACTCTTTTAAGCATTTCCTATATACTAAGTAATTCTTTTTAGAGTATATAGTTAATAGATAATCGTATTTTCAGTATATAAAGTATTACTTGATTTATACTACTTATTATAAATGTAATAGCTATATAGTTTTAAATCGATAACTAAGTCTTCTTTTAATACTCTATTTTCTTTCTCTAAGAATACTAATTTAATAATTAATAAACTCTTATTATAACTCTCTTTATTCGCGCTAAACTAGTCTAGCTATACTATATTAAAACTTAGCGTATTAATATTCTTATTCTAAATTCTTTTAATTATTATAATTATATCTTTAATATTAAATATATTAATTCTTACTCTATAAAGTAGAAGACTATATATTTTAGTAATTACTCTCGCGCTATTACTTATCTTTAGAGTCTAATTCTTACTTTTTCTTAGTTTATTCGCCTTCTCTTTTTATAACTATAATATATATATCGTTACTTACTAGCCTTCTAGCCGTTCTAATAGATTTTCTTATAATATTTATATTCTTTATATATTTATTAACTATCGTAATTATCTTATTTAATATCTTTTCCTCTAATACTTTACTAGCTATCTCATCTTATAGCTTTATAATAATCTCGTTTAGCTTATTATATAATACTTAGTCTTATTTTAATATTACTAATAATATAATAAGAATTTTTAAAAAAATTTTATTAAATTTAAATTTTTTAGTTGCAGCTGTATGCGATTGATACAGGGGTTAGGCGTCCCCTAATTCCAATTAAAGAGGTACTGGTTTTACTAAGTACTTTGAATACGTGTATCTACTTTCTATAGCTCAATAATATAGCATGAGCGTTGTGCGAAAGTTTTGTCCGCTTAGTACTCTGCAGTTGCGCCTGATATGTATTTAGAGTATTAGCGTATCCTAATTAGTACTAGCGCAAGGCCCATGAACTTGCTGTCCAACCCCACCAAGGGGGGGTTGAAGAAGAGATATCAGCATTGACAATCCAATTTTCCATGAGACTTCCCTTCGCCTTACCCCGTCTACGCCGAAGATTACATACAAAGCCATCACTAGCCGTTAGGATCCAATGGCATTCGAGCATACCGCAGCTTGTACGGTGGCCTTCCCACCAGAGATCTGGAGGATCGTGTTGCGCAGCTTTGGTACGCAGCCCCAGGATCTCGTCGAACTGTGGACAGGATGCCGTGGGGTCTCCCGACATTTCAAGCACGAGGTCGAAGAGCTCTGCATCGCAGACTACCTCACCCGCACCCGGCTACAGTTCGAAATGACCACCACCCAACGCTTCAACGGAAACTCGAGGATTCAATTTCACGATCACCACGTACACACGGAGTACAATCGTATTTCTGTGGACAGAGCCGGGGCAATCTTCCAAGCAAAAGATGACGACAAGGCAAAGCTCCTCAAACAGATGCACAATGGAGCGGATTTTCCTGGGCCAAGTCATCTTGTGGACTTCTCGAGGCCATTTGATGGCGTCGCTCTGCCGGGAGTCTGCTTTCACGCGAATGGTGATGTCGAAGTCGGTTGGAGAGAGCTCTTTGCCGCCATTCTTGCCGAACTGAAGTATTACTACCGAACATGCTGGATTCTCTTAAAGCTTCCCAGCTGTACCCTTACCGCAAGAGAATCGCGGCACTTGCTATTATTGGAACGGTCAAGGGAAGCGGAGATGTTTGAATCCAACATGAGCAAAGCAACGCAAGCGGAGGCTCCTCGCGCGCGTGTGTTTCGCATGGTCGTTTCGCGTTTCTGGATAGAGACTGAGACCTAGTCATAAGTTAATTGCTCTTTGAAAACTGGTGATGGTTTGTGAGGATGCTAACGACTACTTGGATATACTCTGGCGGGTTCATTCGCGTACAGATCCTACCTTCGAGAACGAGATATTGTGCACAACGCAAGCACTAATGGCCACGAAGGATTCTGGAGCAGACCATCACGCAATCAACCGCATGGATTCTTACCCAGTGGCCCAACAGATACTTTCTACATACCACTTGCCGCAGCAACCACCACGGCCTCAGTCTCATCGCACCAACAACCACAGCCTACACGCTCACTTTCAGCAACCCTTGTTCATTTAGCGCCGTCATTGTTATCACTTTCGTCCTGACTTCCACCTTCGCTTTCAAAGTCGTCGCTCTCCTCATCGTCGGCTCAATCATCTGCCTTGATCGTCCCTGAAAGTGTCATCTTTCACTCTCTTCCCAGTAAAATGGTCATCTGAACCCGCATCTGAGTGGGTTCCCACTTATTCGAGGTCATTTGCATGGTCAGTAGACCCCTTCTTGGGATCGGCAACACTTTATGCCCCGAAATTGGATCTTGCGGCACTGCACTTCTCATTCAGCTAGATTTGGTAATCGAAGCGTTCAGCCTGACTATTTGCAGCCGTCGCGATCTTGTTCGCAGAGACTCTGTGTACTTATGCACGATCAAAGGCTACAGACCAAATCATGGGGTCCAAAGATGGCCGAAAGATGACCTCAGCCTTTGTTTCCGTTGCTATTACCTCCGTCATTTTGCTAGGGATGTGGACCGTTGCAATTGCTACCTACCTTGACAGCTTGCCTGGAGTGGGGGACAAGAATGGATTGGCACGCTAGAAAGACCGCTTGTTTAGGTGCAGGTTTGGGGAACGCTACCCCGCAAGATACGTACATTGCAGCCATTGAACATGGTTGCACTGCCCCGGAGTGGGGGAAACATCACGATAAGGACAAGGCTGCAAGGCAACCACGGTTCGCCTTACTGATCCGTAGCTCCGGCGGCTAGAAGATAACCTCGAATGGTCGACGTCGAAACATTGGGAACCAATGAAAAGCTGTCAGTCTCCAAGCTTGACGTCTCCGCCATTGGGTTTGTCCGTTGGTCACTGCTAGTATTGCTGTGCATGCTATCACGGACGAGTCATCAGCACCAGGCTAGGATAGATTTAATCGACTCCACGATGGCCGGAGTGTGGGCGGCTATAAGGCTGTGCGAGAATCCTTCTCTATTCCCTGTCTACGAATATCATTTCTCACATATTCATCGTTCGGACTTGTGTCGTTGCTTGACTCTCGATCCTCATTAGATATGGACCCTCTGTCAGTCTCGGCCTCGATAATCGGGATCACTACCGCAGCTGTACAAGTCTCGCGTCTGCTGAAGACATTCGTCGATGGTGCAAATGGAGCATCCACATCCGCACGCGGTGTCCTCATGGAAGTGACAGGCATCTATGCGTGCCTGCATCAGCTGCAAGGTTTCTTAATAGGAAATGAAGAAGCGGCTAGGCCCCGAAGATCTCTCATCATGATTGAGCAGGTCATCATTGTATTCACAGACTGTGTCTCCATCTTCTCTGAGCTCGAGCAGACACTCGAATCGCTAAAGACAGGGGAGCACATGCGATTAATAGACAGATTGAAATGGGCGTCCAAGGAGGCTGCTATCTCAAAACTACTCGCACGACTTCAGGCCTCAAAGGCATCACTGAATTTCATGCTGACGATTTTGACTTGGTAAGCGGGTAATTGATCGGTGAGGTCGATCGACCAACACTGACGACCTGTGGTTGTTAGTACATCGATAGATTGGGCCGAAGCCTCGATGCGCAACCTCACCAGCCTAGTGCAGGAAGTGCTAAAGACAAACGTTAACATGGCTTCCCGGCTAAAGAATCTTGAAAGGATGCATCCAGCTCTAGCCGCCTCCTTACGTACATCGCAAAACGATACCGCCAGAAGCGAAGGAACTGAAAGCCGTGCCGTTAGCCGGACGACCTATTACAAATTCACCTTCGAGGAAGAGCTCGAGACGTCTCCGGTTTACAAAAGAGCGGGCATGAATCAAAGCAGATTCTCCAAATCTTTGACCTCCTCAAATGGCCCTTCGTGTTTGTCAGGCCTCAGTCTTTCAGACGTTAGCAACGTCTCCGCTATCGCGCTCCCGATATCCTCTATGGAGCTTTGGAATCATCACCGGTATCGACCCGACAATGCCGGGTCCGCAACCGCTGCCACATCATTGGATGCGTGGTACAATCCACCAGCGAAGGTGCCTATGGCCGGGCTAAGCCCAATATAAGGCCCCAAATGCTGACACTCAACACAGAAAAGTGCCTTCATACGAACAGCCTACTTCAACGGCCAGTATACAAATCAGTACGCACAGTCAAAATTCACCGGACATCTGATATACCGGCGCTTTACCATCACCGCGCCTCACTCTCCGCCCGTCTTCACCGAAGGAGCAATCATGCCACAGAGTCCGAAAGAGCTTGAGCGGATTGGCGAGGAGGCTTCCGAAAAAGATGAGAGGTTTGAACTCGAAGACACAGGCATCGAGAACGCAGCGCCGACGGAGCTCGAAGGCGGACAAATCGCCTTGAAAAGCGCTCTGAACATGGACGCATCTGATTTGCACGCCACCCCTGACGCAGCTCTGCGCTCCTCGCCGCAAAAGCCCCTACCATTATCGTCTCCTGAGACTTGGAAAGGCGGCAAGACGCTTGCTGCACGCCGTCGCAGAATCCGCAGTACCTCGCCTTTGATCAAGCTGACCAAGCCGCTGGCGGGTATGGGAGATTCGCGAAACTGGAAATTGTCAGTCTTGCATAAATTCGCTACGATACAGTACACCTTATAGTTTTGTAATTCGACCTCCCCATCAGCAATAACTTATTTTACCGGTCACGTCTATTGGTTTGCTACTTCGCTTTTTGGACGCAGGGCCGAACATTGACGCAATAGAGTGGTGGGTGCCTGTCCCTTCATCATCTGTAAATACCATTCCTTTCAATCTAACACTGTGCGGCTCGATGGCTTGCAGGCAAAGTCCCTTTGCGACATTGGGGTGTTGTCAAAACCACTTCTTCAACTTGCTCAAACTAGCAAGGTAAGACCTAATATCGATTAGCAGATTCGCGGTGGCCATCTTGGCTTCCAACTGCATGTGTCCTCTTAGCGAATTGCAGTCTCCATGCTCATGCGTTAGATTGTAGTGGCCGTATGGAACATCACAATGCATATCAAGAGGACAAGTCCTAGGCTGCCCATGCAAGCACCACGGCACCGATCCAGTTCGGCACATGATCGTGATTATTGGATTGAAGGCGCCAGGGCTATGGATTTGTCGGCGTCACGAGCCTCGATTTCTTTGACAGACTTCGTTGATTGAATCCTCCTGTCAATCATCGCAAAACTCTCTCCCTCAGTAACGTTCGATTGCGCGAATTTAATCATCAATACATACCTCCTCCCTTCAAAATGGAGGAACCGCTATTTCTACGCCAAACCCAAACCGATATCCCGAAGATTCACAGATCCCTCGCGGTCACGCTGTTTGAATGACTGCATTGCCAAAGAAACTTTGGCGGGGGCCCGAGTATCCAGCCTCATAAATTACGGTCAGTAAAAGGTCGTTCGATGAGTTGTTGTCCTGGGCCATATCGCTGCTAGACGCAGAAGAACTTGTGTTGACTCGAGTTCGAGAACCCAGAACGGGATTTGGAAAAGAAGTATTGCATTGCATAGGATTGACGGACTTCTCGTCACAGGAGAGCTTGAACCTAGCTTGAGAAAACGCTAGTATGACCATGTATCATACATACTTGTCGCCCCAGAGATCCATGATCTTCACCAACTGTCAGGACACGAGCCAGCAGGCGTCTGCACAGTGCTCGTAGTTAGCGGTGAGTGGAGAGACTTGACGAGTGCTTTATATCGAAAGCCTATAGAAGTCGCTGAGTACGTATCGTACGATTCATCAAGCAACAAGCGGAGCTTTCCTGGGCTGAAATTTACAGATTTTGCAGGGAGTTTAGACGAAAAATTCTTTGATCTAGAGGCCCGATGGGAGAAGAATCGTCAACATCATGGAAACCCGAGTCTACAGACCTTCAAATGGAGCAGATCTAGGATTGAAAACCCGTGCTATTCCCAGAAGATCAAGCGTCAGAGCTACTCAGTGCAGCTCGCAGAAGAACTCCGTTCATCCGACAATGCCTACGAGACGCCAAGCCCGGATAGTAGCCGTGTCTTCAAGTGCCTGAAGCAAGGGAAAGATACGATGAGCGCGCACGTGGTGTCCATTTGAGAGAAAAAGGCGGGTGGTGTTTAGGTAACCAGTCGACCAGAGGCGTGGAGGGGTTCAGCGGCGAAAGGACGAATGCAGATCACAGGGATGAATGGACGAGTTCAACAGTGCTCGATGATTTGTCTTTCGAGGAATACACGGATCGTATTGCCAATGGCGAAGGCGTACATCTTGACAAGCCAAAATCAGTGGCTTCCGCATGAGTGTGAGGATTGAAAAGGAAGAAGAAGAAGTGCTTGAGTGGAGAATCAGCGGCGACGATGCTACCGTCGACCGTGTGAGAGAAGGTGGCCCTTTCTTAAAGCTCGGAGCATTTCATTAGCGCTCATTAGCGGATGGGAACGCAGAAAGGCTTCAAGTGCAACCTTGTACGCCACGTAGCTCTAGGAGCGGAGCCCATCAATTCCGACACTCTAATGACTGAAAGATCTTCTGATCTTCTGATGCTGCTGAGTCTATGTCTCGAGCAATGCAGCTGCCCCAGCATGTCAATGATGAGCAGGTCCAAAGACCAGCGGAAGTAACGACAGGTGTTGTTCAGAGAATGGAGATAGAGTGGCGGGAAGTGGTGCATCCTCTTGAGCTCCACGAGGAGATCGTGGAGGTTACTACGACTCCAATGGACAGAAAGTACGAGTTCCGCAACGAGGGGTCAATTCGGGGAATAAGTATACTCTACGACGTTTGCGTCATTACGCTTGTTTTCTACCTCGTACTCCTGCCGTTGCAAGCAAGCGAGCATCTGGCCATACTCAAGTCGCTGTATGCATCTTACCCATGAACTCCAACAAGGTCAGCCGCTTTCCCCCCACGGGGCCATTGGTCGCTTCTTCGCTAGACGTTGCTGTGACATCCAATTTGATCCAGCTGCCTACCCTCTGCATACCCTCATCTCCCGGGCATGGGTTCCGCTGCCTGTGGACTGCCAGGCTTGAAAGCGCAAGATCTGTGGATCTCGAACGTCTGTTCAGAGCCAGTCATGCAGAAAGGTCATCAAGCCACAGGGGGCATGTCTTTGTCGGATCACCGCTCAAAGGAACCAGGTCAGAGGCAGACACTGACACTCTGTATGCATGACTGGCTTTGCAGCACGTTGTTTGGCGCGTCTTCTGTTCTCGGCACCATGAGTTTGGATTGGGTCTTTGTAACCCTGAGGATACCTATCACTTTCAGGGCACATTGTGGTGGCTGTCGGTTTGACATCGGTGTCTTGACTTTCGACATCTCCACTTGTCGTGAATCGGCGGGAAGCAATGCTCAACAAAGACCACTGGCTACATGAGGAGTCCCCCAGCAATTGAAAGACAGAGCAAGATTGAGCAGAGTTCACAGTAAGTCTTGTAATCTATTGAGATCCTTTCCGCTCGCAGACTCGTCTCAGTGGATGCGCATTGCTTCCAGAGTTGTGCAATACGCACCCAACTTGATGCATGTGCCGAAGTACTGAAGCTATGTACATTGCGATCTCCCCGGAGTAAAAAATGCGCCATCAGCCGTCTCTGTGGACTAGGAAAGCTGGAAATCTATACAGCGTAGGGGCCATGTCTCCCATTCCGTGCGGTTCCCCGAGGGTCATAGCTCCTAACGTGTGCGTGTTTCGTCCGTTCCATGCCTTACTCCATTCACAAACTGTAGCAAGAAGTGGCACAGGTCATCAGCCAGGTAACTCATACGGTTCTAAGTTCCCAATGTCGTCAACGGCTTCAAGCTCTAAATCACTGCCCGGGGTGTAGGGAACAAGTTGGCAAGAGGAAGACCAGCAGGTGCAGGTCTTGCTGTGGATCGCAACTGCACAGCCGACAACCAAAGCACCAACCCCAAGGATATATTGCGCTAGCGTAAAACCGCCTGATAGGTCGTTGTGAGGTATGGAACGCCACAAAGCCGGGACTAGACTACCCACGATTGTAAGGAAGCCAAGAAAGATAAGGATATAGCATGCGCGTATCCTATTGAAGACTGAAAGACAGAAATTTTTCGATGACCGGTGTGCTGGTAAATCCTGCTTGGGATATGGCAGCCACCTTTGCTCTGCTGTTGGGGAGAAGAGTGTATTTTGCGGCCGTGGTTGTAATTGTGCTGAAATATCACGTACTCGAGCCCGGGATTCCGCCTGCCAGTAGATATCAAGAAAGCGTCTTGAATCGCCTTGAGGGTAAGGATCTGATGCGTCTGGGGACCCGGAGAGACCGAGCGAGGGTCCACATCCTGGCGGAATGGAGATTGTTGGCTGATTGTGCCTCCCGGTGAACTCGCTCGCAAAAGAGAACCGGCTCTCGGGGAGGTCTACAGTTGCGATGTCGTATTTGATCGATGTCAGTTGTCTTCTCAGCCTCTCAATGTTGCCTTTCTTCCTTATCCATTGCCAGTGATCGCCTCCGATATGCTCACCAGCTTTTGGTAAATTATGCTGAAGAAAGCGGTCGACTCTGCTAAGATCCTTCATGAGCGGTCGTCTAGTCACATCCTCTCGAGATGATGGTAACATTGATGCATTGAACAATGATGCCTGGACAAGATGGATAGCTCTCTCAAGCTCAGAAATCTCGGTTTCGAGACAGCTGACCTCATTTGGAAGATCCCTGAAGGCTTCGATAAATGTAAAACATAGATGGGCGGTGGCAGCGAAGCCGGCGACCGCGGATACAGGGTCCATGGTCGGGGACACAGAAATTGAACAGCGTCAAACAAGACACGCAACATGTTCACCCAGCAAATCTCAGACTATACTTATTGGGGAGAGAGCCAGTCGACTTAGCATAAGCTAAGTAGGAGATGGTGATGTTGCGAAGAAAAAGGGAAGAGATCCAAGTCTGACTGCACCACCAGCACAGCCTTGTTGAGCCTTCAGCCTTGGGGAAGGGCAAACGCAGTATGCTGCCAAGGAAGGCCACGGCAGGCGCTACTCAGCCAATTGAATTGAGGTCCCTTGTTCATAGGGCACGATATTTGCACGATGCTCTGTACCATATTATGATTTATCAGGGTCTGAAACATAGATATCGCTGCTGCTCGTTGGTAATGCCTTACGAAGGACCCTGAGTATCCCTTTCACTCCGCTGTCAATCATCTTGATTGAATGTTTACGAGAAACAAAGGTAGCCTCGATCCAAGGCAATGTGTCGGAAAAGGTGGCAGTCGAAACAATAGACATACTTCAAACATCGACAAATGCAGCAGGAACAAGGACGCTTCTCGACTACTGTTAAATACTTGGGTATTGATGGCTGAGATTCATGTAAATTCTTGGACATTTCGGCGCACCATTCTGCCAAAAATTGCGCTCAGCCTTACAGACAACGCTAGGGAAGCGCCAAGATTTCGCAGTGGCACATTATTTTTCCACGTCTTGCCCGCAAAAGTTGAACCTTTTGTCAAACATCTGTGTCTGATACCACTGCACGCATTGACGAGCCATCACAATGCCTCAAAATGATTACATCGATCGGCATACAAAGCTTCATGGAAAAAGGTAAGCTGTGCAATCCCCACACCCTCTTTCCATCCCCACTAACCACTCTTCACAGACTGGACCATGACGAACGAGTCCGAAAGCGCACCGCGCGAGAGGCCCACAAAGTCGCAAAAGATTCACAGAGCTTCACCGGGCTACGGGCGAAGCTCTACCAGAAGAAGAGGCACCATGAAAAGATACAGATGAAGAAGCAGATCCGGCAGAAGGAGGAGAGCAATGTCAAATCGGCAGGCCCCCAAGAGCCATCCTCTACGCCTTTACCTCAATACCTACTCGATCGGAGTCAGCCTAGCAATGCGAAAGCATTGTCGAGTGCGATCAAGAACAAGCGGAAAGACTCGGCGGCGAAGTTCAGTGTGCCGTTACCGAAGGTGAAGGGGATATCGGAGGAGGAGATGTTTAAAGTGGTGAAGACGGGGAAGAAGACCGCTAAGAAGGGATGGTGAGTGCGATCCGGGGCATCCCCAGCAAAGAGTCTTTGGACTTCTCATAAACAACCCGGCTGTGCCTTGGGGGCTCGGCATTCGCCTCAAGAGAAAGCTACTGACTTCGAACCTACAGGAAGCGAATGATCACCAAGCCAACATTTGGTTCGTGCCTAAGCCTATGTTCTAGCAAACGGATCATACTAATTGTCCATTTGTAGTTGGACCTGACTTCACCCGTCGAGTGGTCAAGTACGAGAGATTCATACGGCCGATGGGTTTACGATACAAGAAGGCTCATGTTACACACCCCGAGCTCAAAGGTAAGTTGCAAAAGTACAGGCAACCAACCGGGAGTCCTTTCTGCTGCCGGTCAAATCCCAAAGCGACATTGGATTCCCAGCTGCATTAAATAGAAGCAAAGGGTTGCTGACTCGGAGGACGCCAATAGTAACCGTTCAGCTCCCGATCATATCAGTCAAGAAGGTAATCGACCAACACCTTCCATCAATATACCTGCAACGTTCCTGACACGAAACACAGAATCCGCAAAATCCCATGTACACACAATTGGGCGTACTCAGTAAAGGCACAATAATCGAATGTAATGTCAGGTATGCTCTCCTCTCATCCCCACACCATAACGAACGAGTCGTATCTAACGCCTCTACCATCAGTGAACTAGGGATGGTAACAGCAGGCGGCAAAGTGATATGGGGCAGATATGCTCAAATAACCGTAAGTTCCATTTCTCTCAAAGGGGTCAAAACGCAAGCGAGTCTGTCCTGACGTCCACATCAAGAACAACTGCGAGATGGACGGCTGCGTCAACGCAGTCCTGCTCGTATGAAACGCACGTCCGGTGAATGAGCGATGCCTTTCGCAAAAGACGGCCGCCGTCCTGGCGTCCCCCAGCGAGGCATACAACAAGGCCCAAGAGCTGTCGAATCCAGATCGGCGGATCTGCCCAGTGGGGCCGATTGGTGCATGGAAGCAGAGGATGTAGATGATACCCATAGAGATTATTCGAGACGAACACGATGACGCTATAGCCGTTCTGCTTTACCACAGTACCCGTGCTTGCTTTCCTGTGCTCCGTTTCGGCTTTCCAAGAAACCCTTCCCCCACCCCCCTCCCAAAAAAAAAGAAGAAGAAGAAGGAACGAACGAACGAAAATACCAACACGAGGCTCCCAAAGAAAAGAAAGCAAAGGATAGGAAACACGCAACGTGGATAGCATAGCATAGCACACGGGTGAGGATAAAAAAATAGACCTCGAAGGCGGACGGGATCCATAACATGATCTGACTTCGAGAAGAGGGTTGGGAGATTGTTGTGCGGGTAGAGAGGGTAGAGTACCGGTGTAGGTAAGAAGACGGGCTCTGGCTCGCTGCGTGCGTGGATCCGATCACTGTCTGCCGAATACCGATCAAAGAAAGAGCCTCTTGGTAGATTGTCTTCCGTGAGAGGGGGTGTTTGATTGTTTTTTGAGTTGGGATGGGGGTATTGATTGATTGATTGATTGATTGATCGCCAAAACAGAAACTTCAATGCATCATCGAAGTTCGAGCGCCTGGTGTGATCTGTACATGGTTTACAATTCATCTTTATACTCCTCTTGACTTCCCCCCTCGTATTCCCCTCCATCCTCGCCATCCTCATAGCCTTCCATGTCTTCTCCATCCTCGTCACTATCCACCACGCCTCTCAACTCCCTCTCGCCATCCACCTCAAAGACTTCCAACCGCCACCCTTTCCCCTCGGCCATCTCCTCCAGCTCCCTCCTCGCCGCATCCACCACACTCGGATCCAGTCCCAGTTTCTTCAAATCCTTGTCGCTCAGTTTTTTAACCTTGCCTCCTTTCTCTCTCGGTTCCTGGCTTATCAGCTCCATGACATTCATTTTGTCTTTGTTATTGCCATGCATGCCATGCCCGTGACTCCCCGGTTGCATGTTCTGGGGTGCTTCGAGTCGGTTGCCTTCGCGCCCGACGAGTTTCATGCCGCCGACTTCGATGCCGCCGACGATGGGTCTGCCGCCTCCTTCGGCGGTTGCGGCGGTTTCGCCGACAAGTCTTCGCTCCGCTTCCCCTCTCTTTCTCCGTTCCCACTCAGAGACATCTTCTTCCTTGACCACTTCGCGACAGACGATGCCCTCCGCCTTCTCCTCCCTCGGCGGCAGGAACGCCACGTCGTTGCACAGCCGCGGCGTGTACACGACCATCAAGTAACTACACGTAGACACCTCTTTAATCCAGCCAATGCGGTCTACGCTCTGTGGATGGCAGTGGAATTGAATCTCCACTCGTCGCGGAGATCCCGTTAGATCGCAGGTAGTACCTCCTGATAATTTCTGACTCAGATATCTCGAGGAGCTCGTCCCCTTGGCTTGGATCTCGGTCGTCATTCCCTCCTCCCCTTCCTGCGGGGGCAGTCCAGCATCCCTTCCACCATCGACCCCATCGACATCCTCAAATCGATTCCTGACCTCTCCGAACTTGCCCAGCACATAACTCGCAGTGGCAGGATCTTCCACGGGGGGAAATATCGGTGTTCCTTTCCCCGGCGGTAGTTGGTGGAATTGTTTCACATGCGTATTATAGCAAAACGAATAACTCCACCAACCACTGATAAAGTAGAGACAGCTACCAGACATAGATCGCAGAAGATCGTAACCGCGATCAGTGGCGCGCGCAAGCTCAGCAGTCTCTTCGGAGGCTGCACGGGCTTGGGTGGTGGAATTCGTGGAAGGAGGGGGAACAGACGGTATGGAGCAGAGGTAGGGTTTGTTGTGAAGCATCATACGCTCATATGTATCGGACGGTCGAGCCGAGTCTGGCTCTGGGGAGTTAGGATCTGACAGTCTTTGAGACAGCTCGGCGGCGGGTTCGGGGTTCGCATCTTCCGAGGTGGTGGAGGTGGTTTGCGCTGTGGAGGAGGATCGAGAAGCTGCTTCTAATACCCGCGACTCTGCTTCTGTGTCTGAGATGAAGGTATCAGAGAAAATGACTTCGTACTGCGGCATGTCAGCGAGACATAATTATTCCGGGCTTTCTGGAGGGCTCACTTGAGGATATGCAAGCAAGTCGTCAGTAACGCTGAAGACATGAGGACTGCCGTATGCTAGACTGGCAGCCACCAGCCATATCAATCGGCGCTTCATCTTGCCACATGAATGGAACGGTAAGATGGTTGGAAGTTGAAGGTGGCTTCTCTTATTTGAAACCCCGTTTGATAGGGCTGGGCCGAGGTCGATCTTTGATTGCTGCCAAGACACTTTTGTCTCAACGGAGAACAGTCCGCTACTCCTCACTTACCACTGACTGATCAATTTCCAGACCATCCCTGCAGGTAAATATTGTACAGACTCAAAGTGTATAGCAAACATGTCAAGACCGTCTCCGACCCTCAACAGCAAACGATTCTTCCTCAGTTTCCACCGCTACATATCCATGACCTCTTCCCCCCTCACCCACCATCCCCACCTGCCAGCGCAAGCCACAACCCCACAGCGACACCCATCCTCTCGCCCCCGCAGCAGGCTGTCCGCACGGCACGCCTCCACCTCGGACGCTCCGCCCTCCGCGCCCGCCAAGCCCCTCTCACACTACGACCTATTTCCCAACACCCTCCCCCAAGGCCCCCCCCCTCGCGGCCCCTTCGTCATCGACCCCCGCCAGCTGCGCAAAGAGTTCCTCCAACTGCAAGCGCGCGCCCATCCGGACCGGCACCACGGTCCCGACAAAGCGCGCGCCGAAGGGACGTCCGCCTTGATCAACGAGGCGTACAGAACGCTGCAGGATCCCTTGCCGCGAGCGCAGTACCTGCTATCGCTGCGCGGCATCGACGTGGCGGAGGACGAGACGGCGAAAGTCGAGGACCCGGATCTGCTGATGGAAGTGCTGGAGGTCCGGGAAGCGATCGAGGGCGCTGGGCAGGAGAGCGAGCTTGAAGGGATGAAGGCGAGGAACGATGCGAGGATGGTGGAGAGTGAGGGGATACTCGATGAGGCGTTTCAGAGTGACGATACTGAAATGGCAAAGGCGGAGGCGGTCAAGTTGAGGTATTGGACGAATATTAAGGAGGCCCTTGATGCGTGGGAAAAGGGGAAACCGGTTGTGCTTGTGCATTGAAAGAGGAGTAAAGACGCCAGTAAGAACGGACATGCTGGAGGGTAACACTAAAGCAATATGAATAGAGCGAGGGTCGTGACCCTTCATGTGCGCATCAGTGTTTGGCATTTGAAGAAGCATATCGTCAGTTGGTGGGAATTTTTGCCATAAAAGGTCCTTTTGAATCTATATACAAGACCCTAAGCTCCAACGGAAGCTGAAGCCAAACCTCCTGGTACCCCCTATGTCCTGCTTTAAGAACACCAGCTTCCCCACCACCCCAACTCATCATTTTTCATCGAGCTTCTCAATGAACCATGCTCTTCCCAATCTCGCTCTGCCATCCCTTTGCCCTCTCAAAGCCATTCTGATGACTCTGATAATCAAGCATAGCCTGATAAACCTCCTCCTGCGTATTCAGGACAAACGGCCCATACTGCACCACCTTCTGATCCAATGGTAGTCCTGCAACAAGTATGAACTGCCCATTCTCATTCGCTTCCTTCGCAACCTCTGCGGACACAGAATCGCCTTTTTGCTCGAAAACGACATTGTGGTACTGGCCAACCGTGGTCTGATCTTTGCCGACACCAAAGGCGGTGGAGCCGGCAAGGGTGTAGGCGAAGGCGTTCCAGCCGACAGGGAGGGGTTGGGTGACTTTTCCGCCAGGGGCGATTGTGATATCGAAGATCCAGACGGGCGTGTAGGCTAGTTCTTGGACACTGTCTGTGCCGTGGGACTGGCCTGAGATGATTTTGATGGTTACATTGCCATCGTCAACCTTGATTGTGGGAATCTCAGCTGCTCTGAGATCGCGGTATCGAGGCTCGCATGTCTTCAATTTCTCTGGTAGGTCGACCCAAAGTTGCATTCCCACATTCGCGCTTCCGTCAGGATTCTGTCTTGGCATCTCGGCGTGCATTATACCACGTCCAGCTGTCATGAACTGGAGGTCTCCGGCTTCAATCGTACCTGCATTTCCAGCAAAGTCCTCATGATCCACTGCTCCATTGAGCAAGTATGTGATAGTCTCTTGTCCACGATGAGGATGATCTGGGAAACCTGCACCTGGTGCAACGGAGAAGTGATCGAGCATTAGGAATGGGGAGAAGTTTCGTAACTTCGGTGTACCAATTGAACGTCGAACGCGGGCTCCAGCACCTTCCGACTGCTCAATTGCCAGAAATGCCTGGCGTATAGCCCGTGGTACCGTCATGTTTCTAGGTTTGTTCGGAGCGAAGAAGGTGGGTGGAACGAGAGGTAGCCCGAAGAAGGATGTGGAATTAGAAGATGCCCTTCTTGAAGGCCCGTTTGAAGGGTTCTGGGTTGTAGAGAGGAAGGAAGCGAGTGGGGTCTGATGTAGGAGACTTGTCAATTGAGACCAAAAGGAGCTGCTGTAGAACAGGATTGCTACGGCACTGATGATGGAATATGAGATGAGCAACTTCATGAGCTCGAAGGAGGAAAGAGGAGTTTATAGGGAAGAATCAGGTCGAAGGAATGCTAGAAGCTTCTCTTCCGACTCTCAGAAGCAGACAACAAAAGAGAGATTGGTAAGGAATGTACGGAGTAGTGTTCTGTACTCGCGAGCTTGTGAAGTATTAGCCAATGATGACAGGCAATTGATGGATCGTGATAACCCTCGACTGCGCAAGTAGAGTATATCAAAGTAGGTAATTCAAAAGCAATTGAGGTTGTTTTGTCGTGGATTACCAACCAGTTGGTAAGCATGTGAAGCAGAAGTGGCGTCAACGGCAGTTGTTTTTGGCAAGACTTGCCGAACATTGGATGCTGCACCTGCACCGTCCGAAACTTACGAGTGGAAACAGCGTCCGAAGCTGTTACCGTACTCGTGTGGCCGAGAAGTTTATCATCTTGGGGGTTTAATTTAAAAAGGTGGGGGCAAAAAAAAAAAAAAAAAAAAAATTTTAAAAAAGGGGGGGAAAAAAAAAAAATATTTGGGGGGGGCCCCCCCACGCCAAGATGATAGATTCTCAGGAACCATCTTCAAACAGAACATTCAACACCTTTCACTTTGCGAAGCTCAATGAGTTCCCCGTCTATAGATTCACCCTACTTTGACTGTCATCTTCTGTGGCTGCATGACTGCCTTCAATCAAGCGACATTATTGGGAGTCACAAAGGCAATGGAAATAATATAGGGACGCTGTCGCCCCCAAGATGCTAATGCTTAGGTACACGAAGGAGTATTACTGATATCTACACATGCCTGGCGCCATTCCCTCTCATTAGTCCAACTCTGCGGATTCTTCTCGTCCTCCACAAGCATCACTGAACAAAGGATGCGAATTTCTCAGAAACCAAAGGGGTTAGAAGGGGCTAGAATACCGATTAGTCCTGAAGTACTAACATGGGAATATGAATTACTCACTGGCTGAGGCCAGATTTGCCCGCCCTGTCCGCTGAGGCACCAATTTGTTCGCTGCTGGGGTTCCAAACCTGACTGGGGGCGCCGGACCGGTCTTTTGCGGCAGCAGTGGAGCGGCGGCAGGCTGAGAGGGCATCGATGGCATTGGAAGCATTGGCGGAGGTGCTTGGCCGAAGCTAGGCCTGGAAAATCCATTGACGCCTGTCTGTTGAGGCTGCAATGCTGGCGGTAATACTGAATTGATACCAGTTTGCTGAGGTTGGAGAGATGACTGGAATTGCGCCTGATACCCGGTGTTCTGGGGCTGCAATGGCTGAAAGCCTCCGCCTTGCTGCTGTCCTCGAGGATCGGCGAACGGACTTCCTGTCTGCTGGCCGTTGATATAAGGATTCTGCATTCCTTGTAGTTCCGATGGCCGAGGTACCATTTGGTATTGTTGTCCAAATGCAGTCTGCTGGGGCATTATGCCATTACCAAATTGACTGAAACCTGGATTCTGTTGCCCGAAGCCTGTCTGCTGTGGCTGTAGTTGCTGCTGGCCAAACTGCTGCTGCTGGTTGAATTGCTGTTGCTGTAGCCTTTGCAGATTCAGGTCATTGAGACTTTGACCTGGTGGTGCGATCTGGTTCCCAAATTGACTTTGCGGTTGAAAACCTGTCAGCTGGGGTTGCAACGGGGGAGGACCGAAACTACTAGTTTGCGGTTGGGTCTGAGGTGCTGATAGAGGTCTGGCAGGTGGTGGCGGCATGATTGAGCCTTGCTGATTGATCTGAGGTGCTTGCGGCCTTTGTCGCGGCGGGCCAGTCTGCTGCGGTTGCTGATTTTGAAAGCTTTGTTGGAGACCAAATCCCTGAGGCTGCTGCATTTGAGCTGTGTTTTGCTGCTGCAATGGCAAGCCTGAAGGCTGCTGTCCCAGCTGCGAAAAAAACTGTGGGTTCGCTCCAGTAGGCTGTTGCTGTACAGGTTGCGGTGGCGGGACCTGTGCAGGTAGTTGGGTTTGCGTGGACTGAGGCTGCAGAGGCTTCTGGACTGAAATGTTCTGGGCTGGTGTGGGTTGCAGAGGTGGTGATAGCAGAGAAAGGTCGAGTAATGATCCCGTCAATGTAGGCTGCTGTGGGGGGGCACTCGGCGCTAGCGTAGGCGCTGCAGCGGGTTGCTGGCTAGGATGTTGTGTGGGTGTCTTGGAAGGCTTGACATCCCATGCATCGTCGTCAAAACCGCGAGTGTCTTTTTTTGGCGGTGGCGGCGCCGTTTCTGATGGTATCGGGACAGCCTCCGATCTAGGCTTTGCTTTCTCTTCACCATTTTCTTTCTGTCTAAATGTATTGGCATCGACAACGTCATTGCTTTGCACCGTTGGGGCTGGGCGTCCTTTGCGGGTGTTGTTCCTGAGAGCGCCGCCAGGCCCTGAAAAGAGGCCTCCACTTTCACCTTCTGGAGCTTGTGCACCTTCTCCTATGTCAACTTTGCAGCAACAGCATATGGTGTAGAAGACCAGATCAAAAACATACCTGTGCGACCAAATTTGGTGTCCAAATACTTCATTACCCGAAGTATGTCCCCTTCTTTAAGACCAAGCGTCCGCAACACAGATGGCGTGATTTCCCCGAGAACATTCTCGTCCATTGAATCCTTGTTGAAGTTGAAGGCGTACCTCTCGCACTGATAGGGGCTAACTCCGGCTTTTAGAAAGAAGTCGAACCAGTCATATTCAGGCCCATCGGGCTTGGCTTTGGACGGCTCAACCGTTGCTCCCGGCTTTGCGGCGCTTGCTGTAGATTCTGGTTTCTTGCAACCATTGCCCTTTGTGGTTTGCGTGCTCCTGCGTTTGATATCGGAAAGTGGCTTGTCATCATCCAGAGATACACCAGTCATTTTCTCGACATATTCGAGATCTTCGATTGCCATTTTGACCACAGGAACTGCAATCTTGACCCCGTTAAGCTTGTGCAAGTGTATTTTCCCATCCTTTAAGCCGATGAACTGCGCTTCGACTTTGAAAGTGGCAGATCGATCAGTCCAGGTCCGCGTCTTTGCCATATCGGGCTTGGACTTCGACGACGAGGAAGACCTGCCATGCTTGCTTTCCTTCTTGCTCCGCTCGGCAGCCTTGGCTTCGTTTTTCGAAGCTTTCACAGCCTCCTTTACCATTCTCTCTTCATCTAGTCTGTTCTGCTCCACGACAGATTTGCCAGCATTGATCCCAGAGCTGGTCCGAGGTGGAGCCACTATACCCGTCACCTCCACGTAAGTACTCGGTACCACACCTTCCTTTCCATTCTTCAGCCTCCGAACCATCCACCATTCCTCGCTCTTGGTATCATCTACAACAACTACTTCATCACCAACCGCAACTGTGACTTCGTCTTCGCCCTGGGCCATGAAATCGTAGAGTACATGGCCCTTCTTTTGTCCACCTCCAGATCCATTACTGGCTTCGAGAACCTCTCGAAGACCTTCCGCCCTAGAAGCGCCTGCTATTTCTCCAAGGCCCCTAGTAATCTCTTGAGCTGTATCTTTCGCACCGGCATGGAAGTCAATGCTCTTGCTCGGTCGCACTAATTCCATGAAAACATGTTTGCCCTCGATAGAGTAATGGGTAAGCTTCTCCGCGGTCCACTCTAGCTGAGGCCCATCCCGTGATTTTTCTGGAGCGATCATGATGACGCCTGTAGCCAGATTCAGACCCAGCGTGGTCGGCATCTTCTTGTTCTTGCCCATAGCAGACACCATCTCATTGATGTTGTAAAGATGGAATCCCCCATTGTTGACCTGCGGCTGGTCCTCATCGTAGCTTCGGCTCACGGCGCGGTTGAAGGGCGGGGAAGCTGCAATCCCTGGAGAATCTGGGCTTCTAGGGGAAGCGTACGGTGGGGGAGGCGGCGAGAGCTGTTGGGAAGGTGGGCGTTGAGGTAATGATGGCGCGGGAGGCTCTTCATCCGAATCTTCGGGGGTGAACTGCGGCCTTCGAGGTGGTAGACTTATGTTGGCTGGTGGCGTATCCGTGGAAGATGACCTTTGGTGCATGATGCCTGCCATGGCAGCTGCTGGGCCAGTACGAGCTGTAGAGACTGGGCTCGATGGCTGTTCTGGCTCCACTTCTCTCTCCGAGGTCTGTGGTGAGAATGCTGCTTGCGGTGACCTTTGCTCTGCTTTGCCAGTGATATCGATGTAGTTGGAAGGGGCAAAGCCATATTCGCCATCCAGCCCCACAAGGGTCCAGTCTGGATCAGATGTATCGTAGACAGAGAGAATGGCTTCTTCGGTAAAAGAGAGTTCCTCGTCGGTTTGCCGACTGTAATCGTATAATGCTTTAGCATGGTGGGTAGGTTGAGCCTACGCGGCAGCTGTCAGCACTCCATTGCAAATGCTATTCAAGACGTACGAAGACATGAAGTCTGCCTTCGTAGATAACAAGCTTCTGAACGATCAGCCAACAATACTGACCTCTGTAACGTAGTTGTTCGGTATCAAGCCCACAGGCTCATCCTCGTCTTCACTCGGCGCCCTTTTCTTTGCCTTCCACCAATCATCCTCGGAGCTCTTCTCGAGTATATAAACTGTTTCCCCCTCTTGTATGGCGAGTTCGTTATCACCTTGGGGAGCATAGTCGTACAGCGCTGTACAAATAGAGATGAAGACCATATCTGCAAAGCTCGGGAGCTCGTTGATTGGCGGACGCGTGACCCGTCTTCAAAGCTGGAGCAAGACGCTCAGTCTGCTTCTCTCTGCTTGGCAAGCTTCAGTGAGGATCTTTGAAACATTCTGTTTCAGAAGATTAGGCTGGCGCAAGTGCTAGGGGCGTTATGCCTGACATGAGGTAAGATAGCATCACCCTATTTTGTGTGCTGTCCGTATGAAAATCTGTCCTTTGGCGAATTCTCATGACCACCAATACCAATGGAACTAGTCATGATAGTCATCCACAGCCAGCAGCCATTTCTATTCTAAACCCCGTCGCTAAGTTTTGGTATACATAGAATCGGAGATTGGAGATCCAGTTGTGTGCATTCACGTAGCGATTTGTCATCATTCAAAGCTGTCTTGGGGTATCTAGAATGGTTTGCATTTCATCTCGACTATGCCAGTCCCTTTACACTTCTGAAATCAGGACTACGTAGTATCTATTGATGAAATTCTAAGTTGATATCAAGCATTAGGCTTCTCGGTGTAGTTACTGACCACGATACTGAAGGGTGAAAGTCAGATTTGGTCATGAACACGACTAGTAATGCTCCTTGTCTGCTTCTGTTCGTGATTACTTGCTACTCCCTCTGTCCCATCTCTTGACATTCAAGCCTGTCTTAATAGGTATATCGGAAACCCTCAGTCCTTTCAATCGTTTTCTTACCCTTTCTTTGCTTGCTGTTGGCACTGTAGAAGTACACCGAGAATGCGATGACAATACTGATAATGAGGATATGGGACCCGATTGACACCCAAACTGCCGTTGGGTAACGTGGAGCTTCAGTCTGCCGGACAATGAAGCTCCCAGCAACACCTCCGAGTCCATTGCAAGCGGTTACCGCTGCTGCCGTCACTGCCCGCTTCCACTGACCAGTGATATTGCTGGCTTGATAACTGTTCAAAGCTGCCCAATTCGATATATATGCTCCAGTGGCAAGGTAGGTACCGACATATCTGACAGTCACTTGGTCGGCGAAGCCAAGCATTCCGAAGCCTGCAATCAAGCATAGCGAGTTGAATGTTATGACCGGCCCTCTAAGACAATACTTGTCGCCGATCCAAGACGATATCAATACTGGAATGACCGCATAGTAATACGGTGGCGCTGACAGCAAGATTGCCTTGTTCGTCGAGAAGCCCATACCACTCTGAAGGATTATGGGCAAGAAGTATGATAAAGCTGTGGAGACCAAGTTGAGAAGAAAGAACGCTGCCGCGAATCCATATATCTTCACATCAAGAAAGTGCTTCAAGACTTCGAGCCACGAAAATGGAGTCGGCACAACATCCCCGCGATCTTGCTGGATCCGTGCGACAGCAATCTTAGTCTCTGCCTCGTCCAGAAAGTTGAAACTTTCTTGGGCCTTTTCGGGAAAGTCTACAATCCACCAGTACGTTGCTATACCAATGAGGCAAGCCACAAGACCCTGGACGATGAACATCCACTGCCAGCCCTTGACACCACCTCGGCCATCGAGGGTATTCAAGCCAAAATTCACAATCCCTCCAGTAGCTAGGACAATCACTTCGCCACACTGCAGGAACGCAAACCGAAGCTGGAGCTCCTCTCTTCGATACCAGCTTGATATGAGCAACGCCAGCCCCGGATAGATACCACTCATAAACATACCCAGGAGAACTCGCATTACAATCATCTCCTTCCACGTATGGATGAAGGCCGTGCAGAGGGTGATCAAGCCGAAGGCGAAAGTGATGACAGTGAAGAAGATTCGAGGTCCTACTATACGTATGGCCAATGTAGCGGGAAGCTGGAAACACACACTTGCCACCGTAAAGATTAGTATTGAAACGGAGTAACGATTGCCTTGATCGAGTCCGAGGTCCTTCAACATGCTCGTGACCGATGCGCTAGAAATAATCCCGCTGTCTAGTAAATTGAGACTACATAAAAGACCTGCGATAGTGCATAGCCTGAAGTCGACCTTGAGACGTAGCTTTTTTGTTTTCTCTGAATTTTCCCTAGAGCCATTTGTCTGCTCCATGTCTGGGGCAGCGGGCTGTTTGGATACTAACGAGTCGGTTTCGGCAGCCATGATGATGCCGGTTGCTGCTGTCTTTAGACCGACTCCGAGGGTCCAATCTTAGAAAATGGCGGGACTCAAGCAATGGAATGATAATCGTAATCTGCATGATTTGCACCATTAAGATAAATCGTCATAATGCATAGACAAGTCCAGAAGGAATCTCAAAGCCACCATACCCATAGCGCCCGCCGGGAACGTCCGAGAAGCGATTGCCGAGTAGTGCATCGACATGCAAAATGATGGCAGTGGGGTAGGGATTTAACGGCTTTTTCTAAGTTCATAGGGATTAGCACTACATACTCGTCTTTGCAATGCCATGCGGGCAGGGAGCTCAATTCGCTGTCATGGCTGGCTCCTCTTTGAAGGAGAACAGCAAATGCCCCGCGAGATACCGGGGAAATGTCAGCTCGGATGAAGGGAGTCTAGTCGATTCGTCTCTCGTCGCACAAGCTGACTGCGACTTCTCCTACAGTATCAGCTACTCTCAACTTTCTACGAATTCAAAGGGGACCTGTCTGAAATGCGTCCGTGCCCAACCTAAGCAAGGAATATAATTTGCTATCTCGAGCATCAAAAGCATAACGAGCGTCGAATTCTCCGATATCGCAATGGTTCAGTACATCCCACCTCCAGACTACCGGAGTCTTCTCCCACCTCTCCTCGCCTGCTTACCCACAGCTTTTGTTTCTCCTCGAGCACCTCCTGCCCTACTGCCTCTCCTGTCTCCCATACTTCGTCAACGCGTTCAGCTACTCGCCGCCTCTTCATCCTCCGCATCCGACTCATGGCTACCTCTTCTATGTTGGGAATCAGAGCCTGCGAAGAGGCTTGTGGACATAGTGTCAGAGAGCGACGCGTTTGAATTACACCCCGTATCTGGTGAGATCGACTTTGGTGATGTGGAAGACATCAGCTACAAGCGATTGGACGAAGAAACGCTCCAGGCAAAGGTGATAGTCACAGACTTAGGGCTGATCATCATATATCTTTGGTGCGAAGGAGATCAAGAAGGCGGCGGGAGTGGCTGGCGTGTGTCCGAGGTCAGGCCGATAAAGGGAGACACGGAAATGGCTGTTAGTAACTGGTGTCCTACTATGGCCGAAGCAGATGAGAAGGCTAAAGAGAATATGATGGAAGAAGCAATACGACAAGGCGAGGATACTTCGGCTATGCACGGAATGGACAACGACAACATTGGCATCGAGGATCAGCAAGAAGACGATGATGAAGATGATGATGACTACTGGGCTCAGTATGACAAAACTCCTGGAACGCAAAGATCGCAGTCTGCTCTGTCAAATCCGACAAAGCACATGAGGACTACATCGGACGCCGAGTACTTCGATCGATATGCTCAAGTGCAGCCGGAGATGGACAATGACGACCCTTCCGGAGATCGCGGAGCAATAGGAGGGTCAACCTTGAAAGGCGATGTTATGGCATCTTCCATGCGCAATGCATCAGAACTCGACAAAGGTCCTCCTCAAGACACGTACGCTTTATCTTCCGCGGATGAGGGTATCAGTCAACCTACGGCATCACCATCAGCCGGCCCAGCCGCAGTGTCAAGACTGGAGGAATCAGCGGAGTCTCAGTCGATTGCTGAGGTGGCTGTCAAGCAGCACGTCAGCACAAGCGTCAAAAGTCTGTTCCGGCTGTGCAGAAGCAGTGGGATGGAGAGGTCCGATTTTGACCGGATGGTGCGAATCGAGCTCGAGACGTTGAGTATGATGGAAGAGGATGACTGAAGCTTTGCAGGAAATTTCGCAATGAAATTAAAGATTTCTATAATACGAATGGACCAATTTCTTCGCAAAACCTAGATAGCATGGAGACTTCAACAGATGCCATTAGGGACAGCCAATTGTTGAATTCTAACTCGTAGCTCATCATCTCATGTAAGGTAAAGGGGTATCAGTCAGCCTTACAGGGCGACCCCGAAAGTCTTGGCCAACATGTTGCGGCGTAAGGTAATGCTAAAAAAGCTGTCTTGTCTAAGGGACACGAATTCACTCAAATGAGCTCAACTTGCATGCTTCGTTGAGAAGGCCTTGTACCTCTTGAGTACACCAGTCAATATATTGTGTTGCACAGGAGAATTCAGTGCTGTAAGTATCCTCTTGACATTTTCCTACTCGAAGCCTCGTGTCCCCCTCCTTGAAGCTCTCCTCTAACAATGGCACCTCTAGAGTCGGTCTTTACCTCCATAATGTCATCCCCTACTGTGCGACAACGAGGGCAAAAGGACAAGAAAGCCCCATCTTCCGCTTCAACTCCTCCAAAACAAGACAGCGATCTCAATGGGATACTGAAAGACACAAAGCTGCCCGAAGTGGTGACCTCCGAATGGGACTATAAGCTTGCACTGGGCGTGATAACGCTACTGGCTTTCATTACTCGATTCTGGGGCATTGGGCATCCCAATGAGGTGGTCTTCGATGAGGTGCATTTTGGAAAGGTATGAAAAGCTGCATCATTCCCCCAAGACCACTCTCTCAAGCTACTACGCGAAGTCGCCATACTGCAGGCTTTGGATAAAGTACGCTGACTATGCCCATTGGTAGTTCGCCTCATACTACTTACAAAGAACCTACTTTTTCGACGTCCATCCTCCCTTCGGAAAGCTTCTCTTTGCCCTTATGGGCTGGTTCGTTGGATACGATGGGCATTTCCACTTTGACAATATTGGCGATTCGTACATTACCAACAAAGTACCCTACGTCGCCTTCCGCGCCATGCCAGCACTTCTCGGATCCTTGACAGTTCCTACAGTTTTCTTGATCATGTGGGAATCAGGCTACACACTTCCAGCTGCCGTTGTGGCAGCAGGACTAGTTCTATTCGATAATGCCCACATTGGCCAGACTCGACTTATCCTGCTCGATGCGACTTTGGTATTCGCAATGTCGCTCAGTGTTCTTTGCTACATCCGATTCTTCAAGATGAGGCACGAGCCCTTCTCGCAAAAATGGTGGAAATGGCTCCTGCTTACTGGCGTCGCTATGAGCTGTGTCATATCCACCAAATACGTTGGAGTGTTTACATTCTTCACGGTCGGTTGTGCGGTTGCGATTGACCTCTGGGGTCTCCTGGACATCAACCGGAAAGGTGGAGCTTTGACTCTGCCCGACTTCGCAAAGCACTTTTCTGCACGGTTGACTGGACTCATCCTGGTGCCTTTCCTCATCTACTTGTTCTGGTTCCAAGTTCACTTCGCCATTTTGAACAGATCCGGACCTGGAGATGAATTTATGACACCTGCGTTCCAAGAGACATTGAGCGACAACATGATGAGCGCACAGTCTACTGGCATCGAGTACTATGATTCGATATCTATTAGGCACAAGGAGACCAAGACCTATCTACACAGTCATGCCGATAGGTACCCCCTTCGCTACGATGACGGACGTGTTTCCAGCCAAGGACAACAGGTTACAGGCTACCCGTTCAATGATACCAACAACTACTGGCAAATCGTTCCGAACAGCGTAGTCGATCTCTCACTTGCAAAGCCCGGTTTGGCTGTGCAAAGCGGCGATTTTGTCAAATTGCGGCATCTAGTGACGGACAGTTACCTCCTATCACACGATGTTGCCTCGCCATTTTACCCCACAAACCAGGAATTTACAACAGCAGGGCTCGAGGAGACAAACGGGGATCGGTACAACGATACCCTGTTCGAAATTAAGATCGAGAATGCCAAGGGAAGGCAACAGCTCAAAAGCTTTTCAGGGCACTTCAAATTAATTCACGCCCCCACAAGAGTTGCTATGTGGACGCACACCACTCCACTTCCTGACTGGGCTTACAAACAGGCCGAGATCAACGGAAACAAGAACATTCAGCAATCTAGCAATATCTGGTATGTGGACGAGATACCATCCATACCGGCTGACAGCCCGCGCCTTGTTAAGGAGGTCAAGAAGATCAAGCACGTACCTTTCTTGAAGAAGTACATCGAACTCCAACGAGCTATTTTCTACCACAACAATGCATTGACAAGTAGCCATCCTTATGCCAGTCAGCCAATTCAATGGCCATTCCTGCTCCGCGGTGTGAGCTTCTGGACACAGAATGATACAAGACAGCAAATATACTTCCTTGGCAATCCCATCGGCTGGTGGATCGTAAGCAGTCTGCTTGCCGTCTTCGCAGGAATCATCGGCGCAGACCAATTGTCTCAAAGGCGTGGCATTGACAGCCTTGATGAACGTAAGCCAGTCTCCATGCACTAACTTTTAGTCCGTTTATTACCTCGGTTGACCACGTTTTATCTTTCAGGAACCCGCTCTCGTCTTTACAACAGCACCGGTTTCTTCTTCCTCTGCTGGGCCGCCCACTACATCCCCTTCTTCATCATGGGCCGCCAACTCTTCCTTCACCACTACTTGCCCGCACATCTCGCCTCCGCTTTAGTCACTGGCGCACTCCTCGAATTCGTCTTCAACCTTGATCCTGTTGGCCTGGACGAGAATTTCCTACAACAAACGCAAAATAAGACTCCTAGCAAAAACAAAGATCGTGGAGGCAAGAGGGTCGTCGTTCCAGCCAAGGAGCGCATAAGTGGACAGAGTATGCTGGCGCTTTGGGCTGCCAGTGGGATTGTGATGGCGATTGTGATCGGTGGGTGGTGGTACTTCCTACCATTGACTTACGGCAAGCCAGGCTTGAGTGCCGAGCAGGTTGTTGCGAGGAAGTGGCTCGGATATGACCTGCATTTCGCGAAATGAGCAATCATTTCCAAAGCGAAAGGATGCCAAAACAAAGATTTTAGCGAGGTGCGCCGTAATGGCCAGAAAATGTTGCATTATATCGAGGAAGAAAATAGAAGAAAGGCCCAGTCGGGGAAATGTATCGGTAGGGTACACTGGCCGTCGATTTAGCGACCTATTGTGAGTTTGGATGTTGTATATCATGCACGATTCACATCTCCGGAATGTCCTCTTACAGTTTGACCATTATTCTTCCATGAATTTCCTGATACGGGTATACTGAAGTAGTAGGCGGTGTTCCGTCGTATTCAATGGGTTCATGTCCACAGCCTTCTGTCGTCATTTTTTCAAAAGCCCAGAGCTCGCGAGCTCTGGCCTCCAGACCCTAGAAAGACCAAGGACAATGGAGATAGTCACCGGTATTTTGGTATGCTGGATTTGGCAGTGTCAACAAACTTTCCGTATCCGGCTGGACAGAGCCTAAGGCTCTCGATGGAGGCTCATTCTATCTACACGAAGAGTAAGTGCACCCAGAGGTTTCTATGTTCCAAGGGGGAAGGAACTGAACTCCATGGGAAAATGCTTGAGGTCTTCTACATCAAAGGTAAGGGATCTCTTCATCCTTAGGAGCTTAGGAAGGTGTGTCATTAAAAGTCACCTCTCGTTTTCCGTCAGTTCCGTGCCTAGATATCGCATATCGCTTAGGGGCCAGACATGCGCTGCACGACAGCAACAATGGCATTCGAGCCTTCTTCAGCAGACCCTGCCAAAATCTCCGAAAGGTATCCACGTCCACCTCGCTACCAGTCTTAATTACTCATCCTAGTTCTCGTGTCGTCTCGCACTGCATATCAGAGCTGTCACGACCAGACGTCTCTGTCGCCATCATGGTTAACTTCTTATTGCCGCTTCTGCTCAGCTTAGCCACCTCCAGCATCAACGCAGCATCCCTCACCGAACCCTCTTTAGGTCCCTCGATTCCGATGAACCTAACCGATCTCTACTCCTCCGTCACAAATACAACTTCACTTGGTGACGGCGGCACCGGCGGCATAGACCCTCGCTTCACAGTCAACTACGATCTCGGCGGCATCCCTTTGCGCCCGATCGCCTGCCTCATGAACGCCGCGAACGCCATGACCAACCTCGCCCTGCAAGACTTCGATGCCGACATCCTACCCATCGTTGCTAGGCTGCCTTCCTATTCTGACGTGGTAATCAGAAGTGGTGCGGCGACTCTGAGTCCCGGGACGATACCGATACGGTATATCTTGTGGGGGATATGGAGTTCGGCTCTGTTGATGATGACACAATATGATTTTCAGACGATGCATTTGACACTTAAATTCGACGGGGCGGTAGTGGGATATCTGGGGATTGAGAAGCCAGATCCACAGATCCTAAGTCTGGCAGGGAGTAACGATGGCAGCAGCGGCGGGAGTCTAGAAAGGAGATCGAACGTGGAACTTCCTGCCATGTCTCCCTCGAAGACCCTCGCAAATCTCACCATGCTCTCCAACCGCGCCGGTCTCTCCCTCACAAACACCACAGCCCCCTCCAACGCCGGTAACCTCCGTGTCTTCATCAACCCCGTCGGGCAATCCCTCACCAACAGCGAATTCTTCATGCCTATTTTCGCAGGCCTCGACTACGTAGCGCGTTTCCCTTCCACCTCTCCCGTCTACGGGTTTGTAGTGCGTCCCTCGTTAACGGACGCGTGGCTTGAGTTCCGCGATTACGGCGCGCGGCCAAGGACGGAGGCACCGTTTTTCGAGTATCAGTGGATTGCGAGGGCATTGTGGGAGTTGCCGTCGTCTATGGTGCCGGGGAGATGGAGGGAAGCGGTTATAGTGATGCAGGTTGATGGGGTCAACGTTGGAGATGGATGGATTCGGAAGGGGGAATCTTGAGGGGTTGAGGTTTGATGTCCGAACTTCGCGGGTAGGGGGGAAGAGGCCTATAATTAAGTCGCCGGAAGTCATGATTATGAGGCTGTTCCGATGAGCAGGTTTTAGGCCTGACTGCTACAGACAACGCGAGGTCCTCCTGAGTATCTAGCTGTATTGTCAACCAGAACTTGGTCGATTGCTCAATTAGGAAAGTAGAGATACTGAGTGTCAATCTGTCTTGTAATTGAGAGTTGGATTCAACGAGAAAGACAAGGCGGTGGCTGCGATACTATTTGCTCGGTGAAAAGAGGCATGTTAGGACCAACAATGAGACCACAAACGGGTCAAGTCTATGATGTTGATACAAGTCCCAGCTCCTATCTACAATCATTGATCGTCCATCCCAGAGGTATTACGGCGACTGTCCAGCTCATGCCATTGACTCTCATTTTGCCTCGCTCATTGTCAGATACGCTTCCAGATCGAACTTCGGGTCGTTAGGATCAGAGATGACTGCGAGAATGAACAGGTCAGTTTTTTTGTTCGAGCAAGACTCTTCCATTTTCCTAACGCCATTTCTGTCCGGGTGTAGCCCTAATAGTCCCAGAGCGCGACACAATCTCCGCCTAGCCAGGAGCGGCTGACAACAGTGGGATTCCGAGCCATCATTCACCTCAAGAAAAGGCAAACTCACCAGCACCCTCCTTAACATCCTTCGGCATCGTCTTCTTCGCCCACTCCGCCTTTGCTTTCGATATTAGGCTCGCCTGGTTCTCAAACTCCCTGTCGATATGTGCCATTTTTGTTTGGGCTGCTATGGAGGCTTGGTGATAGAAGCCGTAACCTACGCCAGTGAGGAGGGCAGCGTAACGGAGGACCTGCGCATCATTGTGAGCGATTGAGGTCAATGGAGGAGAGGGTAAGAGGAGCATTGGATTGCGCACGTTTCCGCCAGAGGAAGCCATCCGGGGAGAGTGGAAGGATAGCTGGAGGTTGATGCGTGAGACGGAAAGGTCAATCGCAACAGTCAGGTAGTAATGAGCGTATACAGGCTAGCATACAGCTGCCAAGGGACTGAAAGTTGCGGTCGTGGAAGCTCTTGTGCTCTCTGGAACTGGAAGAGAGAATCACTAATTGAGGTCGAGAACAAAATTTATGCGAAGGAGCTTAGACTACTTTTTATGCATGCATAAATTTATAATGTTCACTGCGCGTCTCCCAAATGCCCAACCAATCCCGCCAACCTCTACCACCAGGTATAGGACTTGGGGTGACGATTAGGAAGCCATACTATGGGAAAAGCTACAGATCATTCATAGAAAATCAAGGACCTAATCTTACAGGACCTTTGGTTTCTTGATTACCTGTTCCGTACGCGCCATGCCTTGCTAGTCGTCCTCAGGTCTAAAAGTTGGATGGGCTTGACCTAATCATTCGAGCCGAGTCCGTGACGATGCAGCGGAAAGATGAGATCCTAGCCAAAAAGGCCAAACTCGCCGAACTCAGACGGCAGCGGGAAGAACGAGAGCAGCGGCAAAAAGACTCCGGGAAACGAGAGTCCGCTGCAGGGGAGTCATCTGAGGTACCTTGTCCGTGCTACAATCAATATACTGGGCGTCTACTCACATATCAAAGGCTAAAGTCTCTACTCCTGCTCGAATAAACGATAGAAAGGAGCTCGACAGCTTCATTGACACTCTTGTTGGGGACAAATCTAGAGACGGGAGTGCAGGAGCGTCCCCTCCAGCGGGCAAAAAAGGCCGTCCAAGCTCCGCATTCGGTACTGGGAACGTTGGTGTCGAGATTCATGGCGGTACATCAAGTCAACCGCGTCCTTCGGTCCCATATGTCTCAGCAGGCACTCAAACCCTGTCCGGGCCTCATGTCGAAACCACCTACGAGCGACCGCCCGCCCCCACTTCGAAACCTACAACCGAGGTTTTGAACTACAGCAAAGGCGTTCAGACCTCCGATTCATGGTCTCCACAGCGGCAACGTAGATCTTCAGGTAATTTCTCGGATTCCGATGGAGACGGATCACCTTCAGCACCGCGTTCGCCCACGAAGCGGCGAAGCCGCAGAGAGCGAGAAAGGGAGGAAGAACTTCGACAGAATCTCCGGCTGGAGATCGAAGAGGAGTTGAAAGCTGTCAAGGATCTTAGCGTGGACGGTCCTGTTCCCACTGGGCCGTCAAATTTCCCTGCAAGGGGTCTGACAGATGAGGAGGTTAACGCTGTAACTGCATCGGAAGACTTCCTGGAATTTGTGGAAAGGTCAAGTAAGGTCATAGAAAAAGCCCTGGACCAAGACTACGATGTGCTGGCCGATTATGCTCTAGACGGGGCAGAGGTGGAATCAGATGAAGATGAGGGCTATGGAAGCTCGCGGGGCAAGAAAGGCAGACGGGTACGACAGATAGCACAATTCTACGACGAGCGGTGGAGCAGGAAGCGGATGATCAGTGACATGAACTTTTCTACCAAAGTAAGACCCTCAAATGCCGTGAAGACCTCAATCTGATATGACTAGTTTCCAGAGCTACTCCTGGCCTCTTACACTAAGAACCCATCCGCTCCTCAAGATCCTTCAGGTCTTGTCCAGATATGGAATATGCACCTTCATTCACGCCCGGAATATACCTTCCACAGCACATCTGACATACTGACTGCCAAATTCTCCCCATTTCATCCATACCTAATTATTGGCGGTTCTTACAGTGGGCAAGTCCTTCTCTGGGACACACGCTCCAGAACGCCTCTTCCAGTCCAAAAGACGCCCCTGACTGGAGCCTCGACTGGAGGCCATACCCACCCTGTATATTCGATATCCCTCGTTGGCACCCAAAATGCTAACAACATCATCTCATGCTCAACAGATGGTGTTGTCTGCGGTTGGACGGTCGACATGCTGAGTTTACCTCAAGAGTACCTGGAGCTAATGACCCCACCTCCAAGCAAGACAGAAGACCTGAGTCCAACTTGCATGTCTTTTCCCGTCTCGGATCCAACTTCCTTCCTCGTTGGTACAGAAGAAGGTACGATTTACCCGTGCCATCGCTATGACCGTGCAGGAGCCAAGGCTGGCGTCGACAGCCGACTTCGCTATAAAGGCCATACTGCACCAGTCATGAGCGTGGACTTTCATCCAGCTCGTGGACCTGTGGACTTAGGAGACTTGGTCTTATCTAGCTCCCTCGACTGGACTGTGAAGCTATGGAAGACTCGCGCTCCTTCTTCGACTTCCGTGGCGACATCGAATTCTTCATCGGCTTTGAGCCCCACGGCTAGAGATGAGCATGCTGTTGGGCCACTGCTCGAATTTTCACGCGAAGACATAGTGTATGACGCCCGCTGGTCGCCACATAAACCCGGGGTCTTTTCATCTGTGGACGGGGCAGGTAACGTAGAAGTCTGGGATCTAACGGATGACACCGAAGTTCCTGCCGCTCGAGCAACGCCAGAGATCAACCGCAAAATCCAAGGAGGCTACGCCGCCAAGAGCCTGGAGAAAGTCTGTTGGGAGGAGAAAGAGGGGAAAAGGCTGGGTGTTGGAGGAGCAGCAGGCGTGGTGACTGTGTTTGAAGTTGGGTTAGACTTGGCAGGGGAGAGTGTGAGAAATGAGGAGTGGACGAGGATGAAGAGGCTGATTGGGAGGGTGGAGGCCGAAAGATGAGTGATCATTTCACTTTTTCTTGTCGCAGAATACCCAGTTGCAAGCGATCAGCTACTTCTCACATTGCGATGAAGCGTTTGCCTCCTCAAAATGTTCTTGTATGGGAGTAAGCTCCTATACAGACGTAGTTGTTCCCCGCGGCGCTCCCTTCTCTTCCGGCCTTAACCTATCTCTCATGTCGGTTGCCATCGTTGCTAGGTATGAAGCTTTTGAAACACGCATCCCTCCCATCTAGTCCCACTTCCATATCTCCCTCGCCCTTTTCCTAATTCATGTGTCGGTCAAACCTCTCGCATGTGGCAAGATTTGAGGTGTCTCATGGGGATGAATATAAAATATTCGGTATATTGTACCCCAGCAGGCGTCAAGGTCCTTACCCAGAATGCTGTTATGCGCTTGAAAGGTCGGATATCGCCTCCACCAATGTCCATATTTCTGCCATACCTCCACAGAGCTAGTTCTCTAACACGCGACATGCGATTGTACCTGTTGAAATGCGCATTGACTTGTTCTAACTTTTATCCTCCTCCGTCTCCTCGACCTGATGCAAGTCCAATCCTTTGTAATGATGATCTCTTTTTCGTCCATCCACTTCGTCCAAGCCGCCCTCCTCCTCATCCACATATATTCAGCAGCAGCAGAACTCTCCGAAGACTTCTGCGATCGCGCCACTTACGGTCAACCCAATCATTCCACATGCATCGCCCTTCTATACGGAAATCCAACACATCGCGGTGCAGGCATCTACAACATCGATAGTGATGAGCACGGCTTCTTTCTGCCATACTTCGGCCGCAGCGCTGATTTCACTATCAACCAATGGAGGCATCGAATTACACTACCTGCGGTGTGGCATAATGGTACGCCGAGATGCCCCAGTCAACTTTTTGTGGGTAAATTGTACCTAGCTGACATACTGTACGTAGACGGATGCAAAATCGCCCTATTGGTCGAACCAGGCCCTATGGGCGGATTCACCACCGATAGTGGATCATGGGCTGAGATTGCGGATAGGGGGAAAGCACTGCTAGATTATTGTTTGTTGGGAAGGCGGGCACCGGCAATCTGGGGTGGCGGTGTGGGACACGCAGGCACTCACGGTAGGCTCAATATCGTTATCTACTAGCGGGGCTCTGTTTTTGATCGTGCTATCGCCGGTCGCACAGGACCCGGCGGTCTGGTCGGTGTCGACTGGAATGAAACAACCGCCAATTTGAGTGCCAGCGGCCGGATTGGAATTCTCAGCCACGCATAAAGCGGCATGGGATCTGGCGAATGACCGAATGACCAAATCCTACAGAACTTCAAGGATTCCGATCAAGATTCGATATCGAAAGGAGCGTTGAAATTTTGAAGAAGCTGAAACGAGGGGGCTAAATGGTCAACATTAGCTACTATCAGAGGCTGTTTCGGCGATGACCCAGACCGACCCTGGGTGGACTTCGACCAAGAAATCGACGTCAGTAGGAAAATTGCGACTTGAGACCGAGTCACTTTCAAGATGGCAATCACTGCAAAGGAACGCCTTCCAAGGGTCGCCTATGACAGAAGAGGCAAGACTGAACGGTGCAAAGCCGGAGAAAAGGGACACTGTTATGGTCGACCCCCGGGTTCCAATGACTGAAAAGCTTGGCCTAGGCCCACGTCTATGTCGAAATGCTTGCTCGGAGGTACAGCGGCTACGGTCCCAGCACGTTGTCGCAGGCTTTAACGAGACGCTTCTACTGGTTGAACCCGCAGGAGATCCGTCAATACTGTACTGGAATGATCTCATAATGCCGGGATACAGCGCATCGCGATATCGTTGCGAAAACAAGTAGAGTGAAGGTCAGAGGACCCGAGTGCAAAGCCGCCACATCCGAGGAGTTGATTTATGGGCCGCGACAGAATTTGCCTTGTTCGGTCAAAGGTTGCAGCTGCCATCTGACGTCTGTGGGATTCTATCTCGATCTACAACCTCACAATCTGGTCGAAAGAAAACCAAGCGCAAATATAAAGCCGATTTATTCGATGGTCCTCTTTGGACTTGGATGATAGAATTGGCTGTCAATACACAAGCACAATATATGACGTTGATGTTGACAACAGTCCAAAACTACACACTTGTTCTCTGATGAAAATGCTGAACCAAGCAAGATACAATTCTCTTGAAACCCCATGGAAGACTCACCCGTTTCTTTGTTCTATGCTAGCCACCTGAGATTGGTATTTGTAAGGGACCCTAGCACTACAGATCCATTTAGCGTTGGCTCGTAAGCGTTCCCATACAATGCGCTCAAAGAGATGAGTCATACCTCTGCTTTTCATCCTCCACGAGTCCCGTTCCTTCTTTGTCTCGGTACCTAGGAGCACATAAGGCATCGCTCTCTTCAAACGGCAGCCTGTACCCCTAGTCCTCCAGGCTTGTACCCTACTCCTTTGGCTCTCATCCGCATCGTCTCTTTTCTCGGCCAGCGGATAGAACGAGAAGGTTCTCCGTACGTTCGGAGTCACCTTGGGTTGTGGATGACCTCCAAAGACGATGCCTCCATACTCTCCTCTCTCAAGGCGCCTGCCTTTGACGGTATCTCTCGTCCCGACTCTACCCCTTACGACGCTCATGCTCAATATCTTCCAGACCACATACGACGCCCGGCCCGGTATTTTGATCGTCCCAGGCATGTCGAGCCTACCTCATCTCTCCTTTTCCGGCATTTCTCTTCAACCCCCCACATCTTCTTTCAGAGCGCAAAAAAAGCAGTGTCATGCTTAATATGTCATGAAATGAAAAGTGCTCAGCTGGACTTTACGGTTCATTGACGTAAGCAGCCTGCTCGCCCTCACTCACAGCTATATTCTCAGCCCGGTATGTCAACCCTATGCAGCAGACTTCCGGAAAGCGTTACAAGACGTCGAGAATCCTGCGTTAGCTGCAAAGGGCATCCTATACTGTACAAGATCAGAATCGTAGACTAAAATGGCCTTCTAAACCCGCTGTTCTCCGGAGTGGAAGGTTCGGCTGACACTACGCTATCAGATATGTGCAAATCCAGGTGCTCCTCAAGTACTTATCCATTTCGCTCATGCCAATCCTATTCTGCTCCGTTTGACAAACAGGACCATGAATGGATCTGAACATACCTGACATCTTCGCACAGGTGGCATCTTTCGATGTCAGACGGTACTATGGCTGCAATGATGCCATGGATTCTGTTCTCGTTATCGATCTTCAGCTGGTACCGAGAGACCGTTTGTATCTACCTTAGACAAGACTACTACATTCATCTGCGATGTCACTAGCTTCGACAAAGCGGTAGTCGAGGGCCAGGGCCAGGGCGTTTCATCCAATCTTCGGATCGATGAAGCGATTGAAGGAGTATTCACCATCACCAGCGACCCCGAAATATGCCCTCCAGGTATCTCCACTAGATTCGCATGGCGCTACAGATCGATAGCGGCCGGTGCGCCGCTGCCGCCCCATCACTACATCGTGATCGTGTGCCCGGAGCTGTTGACACAGACGGAAGGCAAACCTAAGATCTTTGCGACTATGGATGGACAGGAACTTGATAAATCCAAGGCCGAATGACAGAAGCAATCTAAACACGATCGCCTTCATAGGAACGGAGATCGATGACCTTCGGAACAAGGTGCTTAGTGCATGGTTAGGTAGAGTTGTCATTACCATCACGGCCCAGAAGTACGGCTTGGATGTAGTCCCTCGGCCTAGCTACCAAAGCGACCAGCAATGCGCGACCTTAGAGTTGGCGGACACCCAGGGGAACGTATATTCACTTTCTCTCTTCAGGACAGGTAGGGAGCTCCCTGATCGAAGACATCTCCAGCAATTTGGAGCCTGTGTTTTCAGTGCGCGCAATGAATCGCTGACGTACACAGCAGGAGCTCGGTTATACTACAACACATTCTGGCCTGATCCAAATCAAGAACCCTTGTTTTTCGCACATTTCCAGACACTGGGGCTCTCTCGATGGAAAGATGGGGTACTGCAGCCACGGATGAGTCCGGCAGTAGCAGTACTACAGCCGCAGGATTGGGCTACAAGCAGACCCAGCCATGAAGAGATCGGGTTTGATGAAAGAGGTGAGGACGGGGCTACTGTCTTACCGTGCGGATTGGAGAAGGGAAGGAGCGTATAAAGTATAGAACAGGTCCGAGCCAGATGTATAGAAGGGGCCGTGTATCATCCATCGCGTGAAGAGGAGCTGCGACTTGTTCTCCATTTAACCACGGAAGGATGGACCTCAGGTTCTGCCTTTTGACAAGTATAACGTGAGAGTATGACCGACCCAAAGATTTCGACAAGCCGTCAAATATTGCGACGGATTGGCTTTACGAAATGGACGTCCCTGCTGGAACTTCATTTTGATGCTAAAAAGGTGTCCGGGTGAGACATTGCACAAGAACTTCATCTCTCACAAATAGGACACTCTTTCCGATCTATGAGATACTGGGCATAGGATATGCTACACACACATCTCACCCGCAACGCATGTGTTTGCAATGACAGCGGCATTTGAAACATCAAGGTACTCTATTTCTGAATCAAAGACTGCCAATGCCAACCATCGGCGGCGGGCGCATTACCATTGAGAATAAACGCATTTGCATGAGGAATATACCACAATGGCCCAAACAATGGCAGCATGCTCAGCATTCTGGACAACACCAGTACGAGCAACCAAACCTTCGAAGAGAAGAACCGAATGGCTCTTTCCCTCTTTATGCCCCCCCGGCCTTTCTCTACATCTTTCTCTTCCTCTTCCATGACGCCAAAGTCCGACAGCGTTGGCGTGAGACCAGCACCCGCAGAAGGTTTGCGTAGATGACAGAGCGACAATGCATATGAGCGTCCAAGCCGTCACCTCGAAAGCCACGATTCGTAGGTGTCGGGGGTCTGCGAGCGGCGCGGGCACGGCCCGGGTCAGGACTATGGTGTCTCGCCGTGGAAGAACCGATTGTAGATGGAGGAGTGGGCGGCGAAGAAGTGGTTGTTGTTCGGGATGATTGCGTGTGATAGGTGCTCAGAGGACGGTGTGTCTCGGTGCTGTTCACGGCACCACTGTGGAGATTAGTCTGAAAGAACCGTAGAGTGGACGTGTTCATTAGGGGCTTCTCCTAGATTTATAGACATCTTCTGCTTTCGATTGGTAAGTATAGTCTCTGGTCCGCTCAGGGCTTGAGCGTGGATATCATACAGAGCTGGGCCAATAGCCCAGTAGCCTACACAGCTCCACCATCGTCACAACCCCAAAGCTTCACCGTTCTGTCGTGGCCGCTACTCGCGATCCACCGGCCCGAGCGAGACACATCACAGGACAGAACATTGCCCGAATGCCCACTCAAGGTCTTTGCAAGCGCCCAGTCATCCGCGGAGAAGATGTTGACGTTCTTATCGAACCCGCTTGAAACGAAAAACGTCCCCGACTTCTTCGGCTGAACGTCCCCCTTGTCATCCTTCTCTGGCGCCAACGTGCAATCTTCGCCCTTGAACCACCGTATATCGGAGACATTCCCTTTGTGAGCCCCTACTTGGCCATTCTGCCGCACCATACGCACATCCCAGCACTTGACCCATCCGTCTGCTGCCCCAGATAGGACCCTGTGTCCGTCATAGCTCCAGTCTAGAGCATAAATGTCTTTGATGTGGCCGTCGAGAATCATGACAGTCCTCCCAGTGCGCAAGTCCCATATCCTGCCGATGCTGTCAAGCCCGGCGCTGGCGAGCAGATTTCCATCGGTGTTGAAGCTCAACGTATAGACTTCCCGTGAATGGCCTTCTTGGAGTAGTAGCTCTGTTGTTGTAGCGACATCCCATAATCGCCATGTGGTATCATAAGAGGCTGATGCGAGATATTGACCGGAAGGGTGGAATTCGACTCGACAGACTCGCGCGGTGTGGCCTGATAGAGTAGAGATAGGAGTGTCTTGTTTTAGATTCCAAAGATGGATGTTGCCTTCTCCGCCGCTGCTAGCCAGGTTGATTGCTTCTTCGGAGACAGTGCTGCCCGGTAGAGTAGCGTCTGGGTACCAGCTGATTCCTCCTACTCGATCCGTGTGTCCTCTCAAAGTCCTTTTCTCGTTCAGATTGGGTACATCGAGGAGCTTTATTCCGCCAGACCAATTTCCGGCAGCAATCAACTCCCCATTGGGCGAGAAGCGAGTAATGCTCACAGGGCGATCACCAGCGATCTGGGTACCGAACAGCTCGAACTTTGCAAGCCGCTCCTTAATCGCTTTTCGGTGCTTAACATGCGTACGTAGGGGTATCGTTGATTCCAACTTCTGATTGGCAATCCTGTCCCTTGCCCTTGGCATTGAAAATCTTGCTACAGCCTTTCGAGCTTCCAGCAGCTCCGGCATCCCCTCGGTGTAGAACTCTTCATCTTGCTCTCCTTGGGCACCTTCCTGTGACCCGTCCTGCATTTGAATGTCGCCCTCGCCATCCTCTCCGGCATCAAGCTCGGCCTGAGTCGTCAAAAGCTCCCTCAATCTGTCCCTTCTATCTCCAGGTCCTTCCCCAAAGAGCGTTATAGGCTCGCCCATTTCACGTAATCGTGACCGGACCCGGCCATCGTCTGTCGGGACAGCTATGGCTGCTGCTCGCCGTCGTCGGGAAAATTGTGAGAGGATAGCTGATGCCTTTTCTGGTGCGATGCCAGCAGCTGCAGTAGGAAGGTAGTGATCCCGGTCGAGGGCTGCGAACCCGTGAGCATTTGCATAAGTCCCCAGTCAAGGTTTTCCATACGTATATTCGCGAGGTCCACCCCCATCTCTGTATCCTAGTACCCCGGGGCTTTCCATCAGCTGGCATCCTAGTGATCTTCCCAAGCAAACATCTCCAGTCTGAGACCCGCGGCGCTCTGGGATATTCGCATGAACATTTCCGAGACAACAAGAAGTGCAAGGCTGCCTGCTTACCTCGGGTGCATCCTCCTCCACATATGCTTGTCTCGCCGGGTGCATCATGCTAGCGGTATTGCTGAGTTTCCAGGTAAGCGATCACAATCAGGGAGTATATGAGGGTAACGAGCTCCTTCAGGGAATTCCTAATGAAACGCGGGTATAGTACGCTAGTAAGCGCGTCGACGCCGCTCGGCTGTGCCAAGACAATGAGATGTTCTTGCCGATTTTGGATCTTCCGTCTTACCTTACCTACAGGCTACCGTAATAACGAACACATAGCATAATTGCCATTGTGGCATGAATTCATGTACCTGTCTCTTGTAGCAGTCTCATAACTAGTCGAGCGCAGGTACGCATATTTCCTAAGCGAGGACCCAAGATTTTCAAGCAAATGAGCTCTGTACCTTATGTTACAGAATTTTTGGTTTAGTCTGTTATCTTGTCTCGTTTTATTAAGTCCCGAGACCGTTCACTCGTCTGTTGAAACCCCACAGTCGACATAGACCGTGTCTCTAGCTCCACAACAACTGCATCTCGTGAGATGATCCTAGAATGAATTGTGGGGAACCTGCGGTGTGATAGAAAACCCTTGGCCGGCGCTGCTAATCTTATGTTTTCCATGTTAGCGTGTTTCAATAAGCGCGTTAGCAAAACAGATTCCTTACGTTACAGTAAGTTTTCTCGTGCTCAAATTCTAAGAATCCATTTGCGTGTCTCTTCGCGATGAGGCTATGGCGTTGGTGGTACCCAACGATCCAGCATCATGAGCTTTTCAGTTGTCGTGGTTCTGTTAAACAGGGCGTTAGTGTGCATTATTGCGCATCTACGGACCCTGGTGGGCCCTTGACCAGACAGGGTCGCTGCGCCAGTCTTGACCGCAAGAACGCTGGATAGTCTGCATTTTTATTCTGACTGGGTCGTACGTGTCCATTGAGACCAGCTCTCCATGCGAGTCAAATGTGGGATGCTTGCAGCAATTTTTTCCCGGTAATGATCTACAGTGGCCGGGCCTCTTCTACTCCTTACCCACACCTTTATCGAACCAGCGCCGAACTTCGAGAGCGGGGTGACCCTCCCCTTAGACCTCTATCTCTAGTCCTAGGCCGATCTTCGCATATCACTGAAGCCTCTGGTCAACGTGGGTCGATACTGCATTGATCTATAACGAAGTCGAACTAGCTTGATGCATGTCAGGAAGCGCCCGGTAGGTGCATGTGCGACTCCGACGTGCAGATTTCAACTCTTCTCAAATCCAGTCCCAAGTATGCCGTGACGTTGCAATGGCCAGCCTCGACGAAAAGGTCAAGCTTCGATTTTTACAGTGGCAGGGCTTGTACAAGGAGGAGAAGCCTTTCGAGATTGTTACCGAAACTATTCAAGGTTCCGAAAATAGGCGGACAAATCTCTTGTTTGGTACCAATGGAGAGCAAACCATTACAGACATCAGAGGCAGGGAAGGAACCCAATTTGCGCTTGACAGTCATGGTTTCGCGTACAGACCAAAGCCGTGTCCGTTTGATGGTTACGACAACAAGCAGAGAATCCTTGAGGAGTATCTGCCGTGGGCTGAGTCAATTATTAAGCAAGAAATAGAAGACAGTGGTCGTGTCTTCATCTTTGACTGGAGGGTAAGCGAAAGTTGGCAACTTTCTGCCTGGCCCTATCCCAACGTTGAACGGCCAGTCTTCGCTGACGGTAATCGAAGCTACGGCGGTCTGACTTCACACCGCGGAGGGTCGATCTGACTGAGCTACACCAATACTTACCAGTAGCATCGACGTGTCATGTTGGTGAGTGCAACTCCTCGCGACACCAAAACTTGGAGTCGATGCCAGGGTTACCAACCACGAGGTCTCGCAAGATCAAAGCCCATGGGAGATGGTAAAACGGTGCCGCAAATTTCTCGGCGCCGAGGCTGAGGAGTTGTTCAAAGGCCGCGTTCGGATCATCAAGTAGGTAACAAGCATTCTCGACAGCGGTCAAGACCAAGCCTTGACAAGTGAGTAGTCTATGGAAGCCACTATCCCACACAATCCAGGACAGGCCCATAGCAGTATGCGATGGCAGCACCGTGGATCAGGCAGACTTGGTTCACACGGACTATGTCCGACGCGATGATGTTCAGGAAACGATGTATCTGCTACATAACGACAGACAGAAGTGGTACTACCTATCGCGCCAAACCCCAGACGAAGTCCTCCTGATCAAGATTTATGATTCCAGCCTGGCCGTCAAAGCAATCAGTAAGCCATATCCTCATCACTCATCAACATACATAAGGGCTAGTTCATCAATCATAGACTGTCCGCATTCCTCCTTCTTCCACAGCAAAATCCCACCAACTGCCGTCCCTCGTCAAAGTATCGAAGTCAGAGCGTTTGTGTTTTCTCGTTCGTGAGGGTTATTATGAATCACCACCTGCTCCGATGTTAGTGCTCTGATGGCTAAGCGTCGATGCTGCGTAGCGTACCTAGCTCGAAGCATTGACGGAGCCTTCGGTCATCCAGTATTCGTCTTTGCCATTCATCTTCGCGCCGCCGTCTTGATCACCATCTTGTGACGTGGCTTGCCCGTCTTTGTGCACGCTTTGCCACGGTTTCATTCGCGTGTCTTTTTCGGCTGTGGACTTGATGGAATCAGCCAGGTTAGCCTGGCTCGATTTCACCTGGCCGTCGAAGGGTTTGAGGCTACTGTCCTGGGCTGGCATTGCGATCAACAAATTGGGCTAATATGTCATGAGTAATATACTCGCGTCTTCAGGGATAAGACTTACCGCAACCCTTGTATACCAAAAATCTTCTGCTCAATTTGAGGGCTTTGGAAACGTCACTGGATATAATTGTTGCTCTTGCGATCCTGAACCCACAAATATGACACAAAATTAGGGCACTGGACCGCAGAAAGACTGGAAGGATCGACCACACCTTGCGGCTCAAATTTGTGAACAGCTCACTGTGCATGTTTTCGGCTCCGTTGATCATCGAGTGCCAGAGAGTGTGGATGGCACACAGCACCATTTCGCTCAGCCTTGGTCGAACGCGATTGGCTACCACGACAATCAAGGCCGAAGTAAACAAATCCTCGCCTGGTACTTATATTTGAGCCAACCAGCTGGATCGATCTCGCGCACGGTCTGAAGAAGAGTGCCCATGGGTTGCGTTATCAGAGATATCGGCATTCCGCGGACTGGACAAGGCCTTGGAAGTCGGTCTCGGCTATCACAAGGGTGGGCAGCCGTGCAGGTTCTTGGTCGCAGAAAATGCTATGATTCGTTCCGAGAGCGCGGATTATGCAGCTGAGAATCATATTTACCAAATGCAGCTATGCTCTGGTCGATCCCTGTTTCTGAAACGTCAAACAGTTTGACTGGAGCTTGACCCATCGTTGTTCGTCCTGCCTTGTATGATACCATGTAATCAAAAACGCCCAGCTCATCCGTGTCTCCCCATTCCGAGTTTGGTGCGTATTGATCAAGCAGTCTATCTCGCAGCTTCCTGGCACTCGCTTCTAATTCTGTCGCCTCTCCGTGATTATGATTATGCCTCGACTTGAGTACTTGCGCCAAGCTATACTGCGACCTTGCTATGTACTCGTCAGGACAAGGAAATCGGTCCAGAGATTCCAGAGCATTGCGAAACATTTCCCTGCGACCTGTCAGCATAAGTCGAGTCGAAGAAGGAGCGGGTCGCACTCTGCATCCTCTAGCTGACCCAGTTTCTGATAAGTCGTTCCCAAGGCATAGTAGCTGTGTCTAGTGCGAAGCGAAAATGTACCGAAAATATCCTTGCGTTCTTCAAGGATATCCTCATGCTTTTCTTTCGCTGCTTCCAGATCGTGGGTATTCAGAAGTATGGTGGCCCAGTAGAAGGTGAAATTTTGAGCGCAGGCCGAATGCCGACCGTTGGCCTTCTCTGCCAGCTTCACGGACTCTTCCAACAGTGTTTTGGCTTCGTCATATCTACTCTGGAAACAACGTACCATTGCTAAGTTCATGTATGCCTCGGCAAATTCCATAGGCTCGTCATGCTTGTTGGTGTTGCGCTTCTTGATGTCCAACGCATGGACGAGGTACTCTTCTGCTTTTGCATACTCGGCAAACTCCAGCAAGCCGCAACCGAAGTCGTTCCAGGCATTTGCATAAAGCAGCTGTTCATCAGGAGTCCCACCAGGTGGAGGCTTGTCAATGTAACGTTTCCGTATGTCCAGTGTCTTGAGCAGCACATCAAGGCCAGTCCTCCGCCCACTGAAGCCCTTTTCAAGCTCTATGTCCCCCCGGAGACACAATGCTTGAGCCTGGGCATTAGGGTCAGGCTGATCCATGTCATTGAGGATGGAAACGGCCAGCTTGGAGGCCCTAACACCGTCGTCGAGAAGATTTCGTTCCCAGAAGTAGTTGGCTTCGTCTGATAAGAGACTTGCAAAGACGGCAGTACCTTCCAGCCCGCCTCCCGCTTGGCAAAAAATTGTTTGCAAGCTCATTAAGTGAGGCTGATATTTTTCGTAGGCGTCCCAATGGTGATTGACTGGTGTCATAATCTTGGACTGACTTGGAAAGAGTTCACGTAATAGGGCCCCCGCTTTGTCAAAAACCTGCTGTCTTCTCGGGTAATCATTTACCAGGCTGGTGCGCAGGTTTATCTGTAGCGAACGATGTACAGTAAGGTATCGCTCCCCCGAGGGGAATTCACCTCTATCCACCAGCTGTCTTTTAAGCAGACCTGTCCGAATTTCATCCAGACTGAGGTATAGAACGTCAGCCAAGCTTACAAATTTCGGTTTTCAGCTTTGGGCTCAGCCAAAAACACGGTTGCTGGTAACGTGAATTTACTAACCTTGTTCGGTCTGATTCCGATGATGCCCATTGGACAACCAACTCATCAGGTATTGCGTCCGGGTTCAGCATCGATATCACGCAAAGAAGCTCTATCGCGGGAGCCGGAAGCTCTTCGAGGGCGATTCTCCACACCCTATCAAGCGTCTGCTCATACAACGGAATTGTACACGTTGTCGCCTTCCGCCAGATATTGTATACTTCCTCAGTCTCTAACCTCTGTTGGAGTTCTTTGGGGGTTGTCTTGGAAGTAAACATGTAACCAGCCATGTGAGCGATTGCGATTGGCAGCCCTCCGACCATATCTGAGATACGTTCTGCCGCAAAAATGTCTTCCTCCGAGGGTTGGTTACACTGCATAAGCTCGAGCAGGAGCCTCGAACTTTCCTCGATGCTTAAAGGGGTAGGTTCGATATGAAAGCTAATCGCCTGTGCAAAAGAGCTAGCAACTTGACTTGTCACGATAATCGCACCGCAGCCTCGGCTTGGCCAGAATCTCTCGAGAGAGTCCCAGGACTCTGCGTTGTCAAAGATCAAAAGCCAAGTTCTTTCTACTTTTGTTCAGCAGCTATATCCTGACAGTTATGTTTAGGGGTCTTACCGGTCGTTTCAAGCCATTCTTTGACCAGTTCGTGTTTTCGGTTATCTCCCATCAGCTCAGTGTGAGGAATTCCAAGCTCGGCCGCAATCGAAGCAAAACTGAACGAAAGCTTGGGTAACTGCTGAGCTCCCAGCCAGAAAACACAATCGTAGAGCTTGCGGTTTCGATGTGCATATTCAAGAGCGATCCGAGTCTTGCCCATACCTCCCATTGCTGTGATCAGACATGGTCTCAATTCAGAGGGTGATTGCTGTCCCTCAGGCGACAGCTTGCGGCGGATTTTGTCCAGACAGTCATCACGGCCTCTGAAGAATTCCGGCTTTGGTGGAAGGCTGCAGATTGAGGTGGTTTCATTCGGGGTTAGGGGGCTGAGACGAGTCTCCGGGGCTGCTACAAACGCGCAATGGATAAGTAGGAATTGATTGACGGAATCTAACAGTGAAGCTAGTACTCACTCGCCCGTGGCCAGACATTGATAATGTCACCATTCATCTGCTGTGCATTTCCCCGTGCACTGATATCACGGTATGCTCTTCTACGTGCAGAAGCACGCTGCCTGGTGGTCATAACAACAGGGCGCAGGTCGTGGAAGTAGAAAGATTTCGAAGTTTCGTAGAGATGAGAGGAAAGAAAAGAGATACTGCCTTGGTAATCGCTCGTGGAGGGAGGACTGAATGGAGGACTTCCCATAGCCACGAGGAAATAACCTCACCATAGCCACGCGCAGCAGGCTGCCTACTCTCGTCAGCCTTGATTCTTACCGAAAAAGGCGAAAAGCACAATGTACAGTATACTGCGGTAGCTAGTGGTATTTCACTGTAATTGTAAGATACGTTCGTAAGTTATCAGTCAGTATGGAATTTGGGTGCTGAGGTGGCGGTCAGGCTACGCGGGGTCGCTCCTGCTGCATTTTGCGGCCTTGCATGGAAAAGCATTGACCCTCCACTTTCAAATTCTCCAAGGTTTGGTGTACACCAATGCGTTCAAATTGACTGTTGATATCCTGAAGGAAAAGCCTTTTGATGAGACGATACAGTGTGTGAGTGCGGCCGAATACGACTCGCAAAATTCTGTGATACGTGAAAGCGCTTGTATCCGTAGCTTTCTCCACATTCTTCATCCACCTTTCATGTGAGTGAGCGTCCGGAGGGCGCAAGTTCTACTCACTAAAGTAATTGGTAGGCTGTCTTCCGGGGAGACCGTGATGGGTATCCCGTCCTCCACACAGATTGAAGTACCTCGTCGGTCCCCTAGAGAGACTGAAGGCCTTGTATGGTCTTCTGAAGAGGCCAGCGACGCAACCGGCCTTCTCACGGAGACCGCAGCGAAGATTGAATGCAAAGAGCAGCTTGGACCTTGCGTCAGTCAGATCTTCAAGGATGAGAGGGTGACCACACCGCGTCAGATCCGTCAGACGGAGGTGCGAGGGGACATTGAGCGATTAGAGAACATTAGGCCACTCATTCAAAAGATATGCGAAGAATCTAGTTCGTCAGGTCTATCGCTCGGCGTCTTACACCGGGGGCAGGTCATTTATAGAGACAATTTTGGCCATCGTGATGTTGAGTCGGGAAAATTACCTGATTCAAACACTTTGTATAACATCAATTCGATGACCAAAGCGCTGACGGCGGCTGCCATCGGCATACTTGTCGAAGAAGGCGCGACACAATGGGGTATGCCAGTTCAAGAAGCGTTACCTGCATTTGGCGATGGGCATGGCGAAATCGGGAGAATGATCACCATAGCAGACTTATTGTCTCATCGTTCAGGAATCGCATCTCCAGACACGTTCTTCTTCCAAGACAACAACGAATTACTCCTTGAAAAGCATGACGCGGTCAAGGCGTTCAATTATGGGAAGCAGAGAGGAGGATTCCGAGACTCTTATATTTACAACAACTTCGGGTATGCTGTGATTGCTCTCTTGATCGAGACATTGTCAGGGCAAGAATTCGGCACTTTCCTGAGGCACAGAATATTAGATATGCTTCACCTGGAAAGAACCACAACGGCTGATGTTTCGAGTGATGCAAACGCGGGCAGGTGCTATTGCGTACTGGAAGACCAGTCATTATGCCGTGTTCCGGGACCAAGGGTCGGCACTGGTTCACTCCTCGAAGGTGCCGCTGGCATCAAGAGCACCGTTAATGATCTTCTGCATTTATACCAAGCGTTCCTTGAAGCGGTCAAAGATCAGGTTCAACGTGGTTCAACATCCACAGAGGGTTCACCATTTAAGCAGTGTCCAACACTCATCAGAGGCCACAGCTTCCTCGACGGCACTTCTCTAAGAGAGAATGCTTATGGGCTTGGTTGGATCCGCTGTCAACTTCCGGGTGTAATAGGCAAGCAAGGCATCAACGCAAGGTTGCAGATGGACCTACCAGTCATTGGGAAAGGGGCTGCCTCCCGTTTCTGTCTCTATCACGAGGGTCTTATGCCAGGTTCGTCGTCCAACGTATATGCATTTCCGGAAACGATGACCATAATTGTCGTGTTGCAAAGTGCGAATTCGCTGAATGACTGTCCTGACTGGATCGCGCAACTCCTGATTGAGACAGTCTTCGACTTTCCTGAGAGGAATGATTGGCTTGAGCTTGCAAAAGCGAGCGCTAGGAGTGCTCTCGCACTAGTACCTTCAATGAGGTTGAAGCTCGACAAAGGTCGTGTGCCCAATACAAGACCTAGCCTCCCCTTGGATGCTTATTGCGGTCGCTACCATAGTCCCCTCAAGAACTTCTTCCTTGAAGTATCGCAGCATGAAGACGAACTGGTTGTAGCATTCCAAGGTCTTCCTTCTCAATCCAATCCACTCCGGCATTACCATTTTGATACCTTCACATGGCTAATGACCCATGACGAGGCGGCGAGACGAGCGCGTTTGATGGTCAATTTTCCAGCTGAATTCTACCTTCTCAGATTTGGCATGTCAATACATGGTAAAATCGATCGTCTCTACTGGATAATAGAGAATACTGGTCCAGAGCCGGAAACGTTTCTGAAAGACTTGGCGGTGAAGGAGACGCTCTGATTTGATACTGTGTGCATTCTGGGTGTGAGATATTGGCCCAATACTATATTCGTATATTCGGTATACGGCGTAGTAACCTTCGTCTGCGATGCACTGCCCAAAGGTTGCATGGTCGAATCTCAGCTGACCTCACAGTGACCGGCTTTGTAAAGGTAAGGTACCCATGGAGTGACGTAAGTTAGTGGTGGGAGCAAAGAAGCGAATATGCAACATCAATTGCCGGACGCCTGGTTTTGGTGTCAATCCTGCCCACGCTAGAGAACGAGAGAGGCCTGGGGGAGGGGTCGAGACTATTGGTAGCCTTACGAAGCCCAGTCAGGCGGACATGCATCCGCATCCTTCCTGGAAACCGAACACAAAATCTGTCGTACGCCGTTCATCTTTCACGTCACACAAAAATGTTGTTGGATGTTGCCAATTCAGGTTTCAGCAGCTCCCTACTGGCTATTAGCCTTTGAGGTTGGAATGCCGGCGCAGCAAGGCCTAATCCGCGATCGCCTTGATCGCCTTGGGCTTTGACCCTGTACAATTGGATACCGAAGGTCTCCGAGCCAGACTACTAAGCGCCCACATCGGCGACAACCGGAATGTTGGGTGACTTGGTCACGCAGTTATTAAATATAGTATGATACGGGAACGTGATAAAGGATCGATGGCTGGGATAGAGATTGTGGGCTTCTTAGCAAGTGCTTCGCAGCTTGTTGTGTACAGCATTAAGATCGCCACATGCCTCTCTGAAATATGTCAACGAGTGCAAGACGCTCCCGAGAGAATTAGGCAACACTCGGACCAAATTAGGCTGCTCGTCAGCACAGCGCAGCTTGTTGAGCAACATCGTCTTCTACAGACAACTCACGTTCACGCTCATATCAACGCGACCCTCGAGCAAGCAAAGACTCTATCCGCAACACTCGAGCAATTGACAAAAGATTACTCTCGCGGTTCGATTCGGAGATACTGGAAAATCCTGAAAGCAGCCAAGGAAAAGGAAATCCTGGCCAACTTCGATAGACTTGAGAAAGAGAAAAGCGCACTTCTTCTGTGTATTTCAGTGGCCCAGACGGACCTTTTGGGGCAAGGGATTCATAAGCTGGAAATGGCTGAGAAAGGGGCACACCGACATTCTGCTATGGCGGAAGAGGGAGATAGGGTAAGTCTGCCCCATTGGTTGTTCTGCCAGTACTATGAAGGGCCAGAAATGTCTTTGAGGATGATCGACTATCGCAACGGTGATGTCTCGCTGACCAGTCTAAAGCAAGGCAATCAGATCTACAGGGATGACGATGTAGCCAACGAAGAGCGAACTATGCCGGCGACGTCGCTCAGACAAGGTTCCAACGGCGTGTACGTCAGCACTGAGCAGACACAAGGAGGACAAGGTAAATCAAATGAAGTTAAGAATGCCGTCGTAGTGGCTTTGCTGATGCTATAAATCCTAGAGCCGTTCAACGACATGGCAGAGGAAGGGTATCGCGGCTCCTCGAGACAACAAATCACTTCTGGGCAAGGCCACAGATGCTCGAGTAGCGGAGTGCAACATATCTATGAAGATGTGACAGCGAAGGATTCTGCTCGACAGATCATTGGAGACACGTTGTCGGAGAATACTGCAAATCATGGGCCAAAACATCATTATAAGATGGTCAGAGCGGAAGGCCAGAGCCAACAGTTGAATGGCAATGTGGCCAGCGTTGAATATTTCAAAGCCTTTTTCGCTCCGCGATACCAGCAAGAAATTGCGCATGGGGGATCTGTGTATACACACGCGAGTTGGCAGTAGAGAGGATGGATTGATGGATAGATAGATGGCGGAAAGCGTTTTGGAATTTTCAGTCTTACCGTACTCGTGTTCACTCGGATTTGCAACCTATTAGGATCTGCAATCTCCAAAATCTGATGTTTGTTATTTACTATCCAATAAAAATATAGTTGAAACCCCTTTAAAACAAAGCGTAGAATTAAGCATTCAAGTTTTAAAAACTTTTAGAAGTTTAATACTTAGAGATGATTAATAAAATTATATAGTAAAGTAATAAAATACGAACGTTAAAACTCTATTATATAACTCTACTAATATAACCTCGATTTCAAAAAAAAATATATATATTCTAAGATTTTTAAAATATTATTCTATACTCTATTTTTCTCGAGTTTTTAATTAGATAATTATGAAATAATAGATTATAAGAATAAGTTTTAGAGATTCTAGATTCTAGACGATTATAGATGTTAATAAGTACGAGTATAAATACGTATATACTCCTCGCTAGAAATAAAGAAAAAACTGCCTCGTGTATAGTAAAATTGTTATCGTAGTTGTTAGCAGCAGCCCTTACGGGGGCCCTACGAAGGCTCTACGGGGGCCCTACGGGGGCCCTTGGAGGTGTTTGGGTCTAAATAGGGGCGTCTGGCTGTCAAGCGCAGACACCCTCGGGACCAGGCTTTTTTAGCTGAGTTGCTAACAGTAGTCTTATTACCTTACTTGCTTCGCTTATAGTAGACTCTAGCTTAAAGTTACTTATATTCGAATATTCGATTATTATTTAATATTTTACTTAGAGAAGTCATATAGATAAAACTATATATATACAATTTTTAGAGATATTAAAATACGGAAATGTTAGAAACATCTAGTACCAACGTCCTAAATCGTCGCATGCAAAATCTGTAAAATTCGTATTTATATAAATTACTCTTTAAAAGGCTGAAGTAATGAGCGATTATAGTGAATAAAAGGATATTGAACGTTAGGGGGTTTAAAAATCATTGTGGTGGTGCAATATAACTGTTCGATATTCTGATTTGTATGTAGGCGAGTACCTTGGTGGGACCACGATTAAGATTGGTGCCGCAAAACCTTGTCTGGTTCCCAAAATGTCAACTCTGCCGAGCGAAATCGAAAAAATTCTCCATGTTTTGACACCATGAATACACAATCACCCAACCTGATGGGCTTCAATCCTTCATCTTTCAGGTCCGAGTGGCGCAGTATCAAGTTTTTTCCCCGAGATTTAAGCTCTAGTCCACTACTATGATATTCCTACCTTACTCTTCCGCCAGTAGCCTCTGATTGGCGTCCAGAATGCGTGCACTCAAAAAGACACTGAACGTTCTATCAATATCACCAGTATTGCACCATTCAGCGTGCCGCAGAGCGGCCTTCTTTTTGCCCAAGGATCTCGGCTCCTGTTCTCCTCTTCCTAATGCTGTCGCAAGTAAGCGCATGTCCACTTCTTCTACGCCATCACATTCACCATCGCCTTTTACGCCCAGATCCACCCCCACCTTTTCCTACCGAATCGGGGCATCTTTCTCTGCCAAAGGACGCCGCTTCGATCCTAAGACGGACGTTTTCACCTTCAATAACCAGACGCAGATTACCTCCGAGCAAGACGTTTTCACGGGGCGGCCAAACAGCGGCCAGGATGCTTTCTTCGTAAGCAAGGCGGGCAACAGCAGTAACGTGGCATTTGGTGTGGCCGATGGAGTGGGCGGCTGGGCTGATCAGGGGATTGACTCCGCCGACTTCTCCCATGGACTGTGTCAAGGGATGGCTAGGATCGCCAGAGAACTACATTCGCCGGACAAGAAAGATCTTTGGCCTCAATATATCCTTGGTAATGCCTATCAGGAGATACTTCGGGAGGGCAAGATCGGTGGTGGTGGGAGCACGGCATGTTTAGCTACTGGGGATGAAGACGGAAATTTGAAAGTGGCTAAGTGAGTCTGCAGCGGCGGCAATACTATGATCGAGACTTATACATAGCAACAGCCTTGGCGACTCGGGGTTCATACAATTTCGCCTGAATGCTGTCCACCACTTCTCGAACCCTCAGACACACGCGTTCAACACACCTTTCCAGCTCTCTGTGATACCGCCAAAGATACTCGCTCTCTCGCGGCTTTTCGGTGGGAAGCAATTGAGCGATTCCCCTGAGGACTCGAACGATACGAGTCATGAAGTACGTCATGGCGACGTCTTGATGTTTGCTACTGACGGTGTCTGGGACAATCTGAGCACACGCGAGCTGCTGAAAATTGTGAGCCGGCAAATGACTGGATTTCATGCTTGGGAGACTGGGGAGAAAGGTACGACTGTATCCGAAATGATACATGATCTCACACAGGATGGTGGGATTCCCAAGCAACATGAGAACAACTTACAGACACTATTGGCGGTCAACGTTGTTGGGGAAGCTAAAGCTGTCAGTATGAACACCAAGCGAGATGGTCCTTTCGCCAAGGAGGTCCAAAAATTCTACCCACATGAGAACTATCACGGCGGAAAGGTTGATGACATTTGTGTCATCGTAGCGATCGTGGTCCGAAATGAGTAATATAAGTGTCCGAGATGTACATACATCAATTGCATTTGGGCGTCGTTTCATCCTACGAATAGAGCGGCATTGCAGGCGCGTAGGGATAGGACAAGCGGCATCCTATGCATGTATACACACGAAAATTCGAAGTCATGGCTGCAGAAAGAGGATGGGTACCCAAAGTTGTTAACATTGACGTATAACGGATGCTGGAATATCTATAAGGTACAGGCAAACCAGCGAAACTACTGCTAAAATCGTCGTCTATCACCCTCAAGAGATTACATGCCAAGATATTTGGTAGCCCATAGCAACAGCCGAGTAAACAGTTTCTTGGCGCCAATCGTCGCGCGCTTTTCCGCTTCAGACAGCTCGAACTCAACACTTCAGCATCCGTTCCAAACTGTTTCGTTAAGTGATTGCTTTGCTAAAGTCCTTGGGTCAGATGGTAGTCATGTATTGTGCCTTGCGCTCAGTCCCATGACTTCGCATACAATGGCCACCATCTCGGCAGCATCTCCAACACCTATAGGCGCAAGCTACCTCGACCCACCAGGACGCCCGAGATCGCGACAGAACCTCAGCAACCAGCCCTCGAGGCCGAACCTGAAGCGCAATGCGCCATTGTTCCACAAGTCAGACGTCAATGTATCTGCTTTGCCCCAGGCATGGAAGTTTTCCATCGGAGACAGTTCGGATGATGAAGTGCCTGTGGCTCCAATGAAATTTAGTGCAGAAGCTAAGGCTTTGCTTGGAGAAGAAGCATCAGTTTTAGGGGGATCTTCACCGTCACAAAAGAATGACATTCACATTGGAGACGCATTACAAGAGAGGGTCAATGCAGTAAGACGAAGAAGTCCAGTTCCGCTGGGAGCGATCCGCCTCAGAGAACGCACCGCATCCCCCGCCTCCTCACGATCTGGAAGTCCGCGCATTGTTCGATTGAATTTGGGCACCGCGGCACCTTCAACGCTACGGAAGGCGACAGCGGTGGACAACTCTACGGAACAAGCGCAGCACCATCGCGACCTCATTACACCTGCTCCTCGAACCCGAGGTCAAAAAAACCCTCCAGTGGCGGGATCTGGTAATTTACATTCGGATGCACGTGAATCAAGCACTGCGAAACCTTGGTCAGCCGGGTCCGAAGCTCAAGCCGAGCCTACGTCGAACTCCAGAGAGCACTCTAGTATCCACGAAACAGCTTTGCAAATGAGCAATCTCTCCATGAACAGAACAAAGGGTGAAGAGACCGGGGTACAAGGATCCATGCGAATCAAGAGGGTGGGCAAAGTGACTGGTCGATACCTAAGTGGTCCAGCAAGGAGGGGCATGAAAAGGAGGCAGAGTGATGAAGACCAGAGCCCAATACACGAGGATGCTCT